TTCCCAATGCACAACCTGTGTGTGTCCTTTGGTGAGCACAGTAAGCCTTTCTGTTGGCTGGTTCATACAGTCATTGGGTCTACATATTTTGGTAAGTTACATTTAACCTATAACCTCTTTAAGGAAGGTGCCACCATCTCCTTTACACTCAACAGCACTTGCACCATCTACATTCCTCTGTAGGTCCTGACAGATTGAATAGGAGGACAAGCCAAGAGGTTCAGGAACAAAGTAGAGTCCTGGGTCGAATACGTTATTACTATTACGGACTCTTCTATGACCTTTTTAAAAGGAAGCATTGTTTTATAAGATTTCTGCATGCTAAGCAAATGTCCTTTTTTCAGTATCATTTAATTCATCTTCCCATTCTCTTATTAATCAAACATACATCTAACCAGCTGCACACCTGCTGAGCCAACAAATTCTATTATAGAGCTGATAAAACTCCAATAAAGCCAAAGGAAGTCCAGGTGTGGGCTGACCTTAGTAGCCTCCTTCCAAGAATGAGGATTTCTGTTGGGCTGTTGAAACACTGAGACCATGCCAGCCTTCCCCTTTATGATGTTATGAGAACTTTAGGTATTAAGGCCCTCACACCTCCATGGAGGTTTCTAAAACCCGTAACCATAGCTGAAATCCTGATTTATGAGCAACAGATACATGAAGGCACAAGTAATTCCCAAATCATCTGGAACAGGCTGCCTAGGTAGTAATTTTAAAGTTTCAAAGCTATACCTATTTACTTTGCATTTCTTTTTAAGCTGTGTTATATGAGGATAGTAAAGGCTGTTTTCTATACTGCTACCAAGTTGCCTGGAAGACTTCAGGCTACTCCTGACACTGTTTCTGCTCCTTTCTATCTCTGTCTTTTTTTTTTCTCTGACTCTGTCTCTCTTTTTTTTTAGTGTCTCTGTACATGTATTATATATATTATGTATAACATATATATATATATATATATATATAGAGAGAGAGAGAGAGAGAGAGAGATGAGATGTCTATCTCTATTTCTACAATCTATCAATTAACAAAGTGGGGATTCCACTGCATCTCAGGTTTTATTAGCATTTTCCTATATGACTAAAAAAGCACTTTCAAAAGTGTAAATATTAAGTCACTGCTTGGTACTCCATCCATGCAGTTATCATAATTAATTAAGCTAATTTTCCATTTTGGGATATTTAGGCTTTTCCAATATTTTGGCATTACAAATAACATTGCATAAATAGGCCTGTACCTAAATCATTGGCGACAACACTGATACAGTCCTTAGGCAAATTGGTGAGATGTGGAATAAACAAACAAAACACATGGATATTGGCTTTTGACTCCATTATGAAGTACAAATTTATGCCACTGATAACAGAACATACGAGAGTCTTTTTTGTCTGTGCTGGTAATTTTCTATTACACATAAAGTTTTTAAATTGTATAGGTAAAATGTGATCATTTGGTGTTAGTTACATTTAGTTGATTCCTGGTGAGATTCAATATTTTTTGGTTTCTCTCTTTTTCTCTCTTTCTCTTCTCTTCTTCCTTTCTCTCTCTCCCTGCTACATTAGCATTCCTTCCTGTAACTTCAAGTGTTTCCCTCCACCTCCACCAAATGCCCTCCTGTGCTTTGATTGTCTCCACCCCTGCATTCCAGCCTTTACTTGGGGATGACGTCAGTGTCCCACAGAATTCAGTGGTTGACAACTCCTCTGCAAAACTGCAAGGGCCACAACTGAACAGCCACCTCTGTCATTTTTCCAACTAGAGTGGCAGAATCCCTCCCAGAGCTGTAAACCTCAGGTGTCACTGAGCCTCTGGTCTCCGTCTCCTGGGGCCGTCAGCACAGGAGTGCTGGCTGCAGGACCTAATGACTTAGCCAGGTGAGCTTCCTGCCATGTCAGCTTCTCACAGGATCTTGCCTCAGAGGAAGTGTTCCCTCCAGCTTTGGGGAAACTGGCAACTGTAAATCAGGTAAAGATGTGGCTCTGACTTATTTATCCTTGTAAGAGTTTTATGTGCTGGAATCAGCAAGGGACCCATTTGCCTGATTCATGACTAATTTGTGGAGTCATCACTTAAAGTCAAGACTAACCCATCCTGCTCAGTGGGCTGGCATGAACAGAGGTTGTGAGGCTGAGGCACCCCATAGTGGGAGGCCTGGTTTTGCCTCTCCCGCTGGACTGACCGTTACCTTTCGGAGAGTTTAGACACATGATGGGGAATCACAGAACAGTGGGAAACTCTTCCTCCTGGTACTGTAACAGCTCTTTCCCTCCCCCAGTCGCCTCCTGGTTTGTCTTTTGTAGGAAGGAATGTTTGCCTGGACCACAGCTGCACCCTTGTGATCCCAGACATGGAAGGAAGGCATTGAAGGAGGAGTTTTGACTGCTTCTAATTAGCAATCAAGGACAAGGCTGAATTCAATAATGTTCATAATAAATTATGGTTCCTCCTTACAAGAGAATATTAGGTAGCTATTAAAAGTAATGTTTTCAAAGAATTTTTATGACACTGAAAAGTGCTTACGACATGAAGTGAGATGAAAGAAGGGCAGATATAAAACCTACACATAGAACACAGAATATGATCTTTTTTTTTTTTTTTTTTTGGTTTTTCTCCAGTACCAGGAACTGAACTCACAACCTTGCGCTTGCCAGGCAGGCGCTTTTGCCGCTGAGCTAAATCCCCAGCCCCACACAGAATATGATCTTGATGGGGGAAAGATTAGTTGAAAATACTGTCAAATGATTATCTCTGCAGGTGAGATTATGTGTACACTTCATGTTTCTTTTTTATATTTTAAAAATTTCTTATGTTAATTCTTTGGGACTCTTATTTACCACAAAAACAGTCACAATATTTTATTTTATTTTATTTTATTTTTTTTTTTATTTTAAGGATAAAAGGAGGGAAACATTAACAGACATACAACATTTTACAACATATCACAAGCACAATACAGACAATACAGAGTTCCAAACAAAGTGGTAGGGAATTAACAATGGTGGTTGTATTACATATTGATATCTTCAAAGTGGCTTCTCATGAAAACAGATATAGACATGCAATACTGGTCAACCAAAGACTCATTGACAGTTTCTTTCAGCATAGAAACAGCAGATAGAAGAACAACCATGTTATCTATCCTGTATATACATACATACAAAATTTCTCCTTCTTTCCCTTCTCTTTTCCCACATCCCAGAAGCCCTTTACTCTTCGGTGGTTTCCTATCATTTCACAGTGTCTATCATACCTCCGAGTTTAACTTAACTCTTTCAAGTTTTACACTAGTGACACAATGCGGTGCTTGCACATGTATGTTTGATTTATTTCACTTATGAGTATGGTCTCTAGTTGTGACCATTTAAATATAAAGGCCTCGAGTTTATCTTTCTTTACAGCTGAGTAATATTCCATTATATAAAAGTACCATAATTTTCTTATCCAATCCTCGGTGGATGGACATTTGGGTTGCTTCCACATTTTAGCAATTACAAATTGTGCTGCTATGAACATAGGTGCACATATATCACTGTGATATGATGTTTTTAGATCTTCTGGGAAAATACCCAGCAGGGGGATAGCTGGGTTGAATGGGACCTCTAAACCTAGTTTTCGGAGGAATCTCCAAACTGATTTCCACAGTGGTTTCACCAGTCTGCATTCCCACCAGCAGTGGAGAAGGGTTCCTATTTCTCCACAGCCTCGCCAGCATTTGTTATTGGTTGATTTCTTAATGCTAGCCATTCTTACTGGGGTAAGGTGGAATCTTAGTGTTGTTTTAATTTGCATTTCTCGAATGACTAATGATGTTGAACATTTTCTCATATATTTATTTGCCGTTTGTATCTCCTTGTCTGAGAAATGTGTGTTCATCTCAGCTGCCCATTTTTGGATTGGGTCTTTGAATTTGGAGGGGCTGAAATTTTTTAATTCTTTATATGTTCTAGATAGAAGCCCTTTGTCTGAGGGACAATCAGCTAAAATTTTTTCCAAGTTTGTTGGTTTTCTTTTGACTCTGCTGGTGATTTCTTTAGATGTGCAGAAACTTTTCAGTAGGATGAGATCCCAGTTGTTGATTCTTTCAAGTGTTTCACGTGCAATTTGGTTTTTATTCATGAACTCTCTGCCTACCCCTATGTCTTCGAGGTTTTTACCTACTTTCTCTTCCAATAGATTTAGTGTTTCTGGTTTAATATTGAGATCTGTGAACCATTTTGACTTCAGTTTGGTGCATGGTGATAGGCTTGGGTCTATTTTCAGTTTTTGGCAGGTATTGAGCCAATTTTTCCAGCACCATTTATTAAAGAGGCTATCATTCTTCCAGTGAGTTTGATTGGCCCCTTTATCAAAGATTAGGTGGTTGAGTGTGTTTTTGGTTGCAGTCACAATATTTTAAAGACCTAGTCTAATGTGATCCATCCCAGCCCTCTGGGGGTTTTCCCAAGTTCTTCTCCATTACTTCTGTTCTCTCGTGTGTTAGGCAGTGTCAGGGGCAGTGTGAACAAGGCAACTGCCCTGCCACAATATTAAGCCACATCTTACTAAAGATTTAGTCAGCTTTGGACCTCAGGACCCATTTCCTTCCCTACCCTTCCTTTTCTTTTTTCTTTTCCTTCCTCCCACTTTCCCCCTCTTTCTTCCTCCCTCCATTCCTTTCTTCCTTTGTTTCCAAGCAATTTTTTCACTTTGGTTCTGGGAAGTCTTTTGAGAAAAGTAAATCTTAACGAACAAGCAGTCCTGACCAAAACCAAATTCTCAATAAGCTCAAGAGGTCAGCGGCAACCAAGCCAAATAGTAGGGAGGGCCCTAGTTCGGAAAAAGCTCAGTGGACCCAAAGAGCGTGGTACAGTCCTGATCACTGTGCTTCTGGTGGGCTAGTTTCAACTCTGGGTGGGAAAGACTGCCATCTGCACAATGCAAAAATGACAAAACACCCTTCACCAATGACACCATTAGCAGCAGTGCCTCCACTGTGTACTGAATGTTTCCAGATGCTGGAATAAAATATGATCTATTGTTTTATTTGATTTTTAAAACCAGTCTTCCGCCGTGAGAAACCCAGGCTTATCAACATTAAGTAAGAAGGTAGATGTCTCTTCACCTGTGTGAATTTGCTGGGGAAAAGGACGCTTTCCTGGAAAGCTTCCACCTCGGCTACAGATGGGAATGCTCTGGATGGCAGCCTTGGCTGCTGAAGTTGGAAAGGCCAGGAGAGCTGCATTACAAAGGGAACATCCTTTGTGCACTTTTCTGACCAAGAATGGCAACCCGACTCACTTGGGAATGCCATAGGTTTATACCAAAGGATTCAGCAATGCAGCATGTTTACCTCATAGGAAGTAGGAGGTTGAATGCCCTGGAGGCGTCAATGCTGGGTTCCTGCACAGCCTTAGCTGAAGCCAGCGGGTGGCTACCCTCGATCGCTGTTTGGAAGACCAGAGGTTTTGATGGCTTGAGATGTTCAGGTCATGCTCCGTGGATGACTGTGAGTTCCTGGGGATGTGGGTCCATTTTTATGGTGACAGGAATGTGGCAGCAGCTGACTGGGCTTCAGCTAAGATATCCTCCAATCAACTAGTAGTGAGCCCAGCCAATGTGACCAAATGCAATGTTTCAAGCCTGTTCGTTGGAACAGTGAATGTCCCAAACAAGCTCATCCTACCTACTATGACGTAGTCCTACAAATACATCACACAAACACATGCATGCGCGCACATACACACACACGTGTACACATGTGAAGGGTAAACTATATGTCTAAAACACAGTTTTTAATAAAACACATCAAGTTCATTCACAGGGGGACAGGGCACAGGGGACTGCTAAGTGTAACTTGCACATTCTTCTACAACAGCAGCTGACTTGCGTAGACTTGGCTGCCAGGAGCAGCGGCCTTTGGAGCACAGCTTCCTAGACAGCTGAGCCAAGTGCTGGCAGCAGTAGGCTGTTCCTCCTGGCCTGGGGTTGAGTCAGCGTCACATGCGCTTAAGGTCCCTAAAGGCCACATGGGCTGCATTTCGTCCAGCAGCTCCCATGACGCCTCCTCCTGCAACCATAGCTTTGCTCAGAAACCCACCAGGGAGAGGACGGGGGCAGGGGACAGAGAGGCAGCAACAACTGGGACAGCTACCCAGAGACCCTGGGCTCCTTCCAAGGTCCGGCACCACAGCGGGGAGGGTTTGGGCCGTGGCTGAGGCCACGTGTTATGCAGGGAGACAATGGTGAAATGCAAGTGCAAGAATGAGGTCTGGGAAAGACGGGGGTGCACAGTCTACTCTGGGAGGCTCAGCCCCACACAGCTCAGATAAAGTACCAAGAAACAGCAGCAGCCTCTGTAGACTAGGGAGCCTTGGCTTCTGCATAGGAAAGAACTTTAAAAACCTAACTTTACTAATTTTTCTGTTCTCAAATATGGGTGAGGGATTTAGGCATGTGGGTCTCCCACAACCCAAAACTGGAACTGGAGACAACCCCCACACCTGGGGGGTGCGGTCAAGTGAGGGCTGTGGCTGACTGGCCAGCCACTGTGGGGCACTTAGCTGCACCAAGGGCTCTGGACAGCAGGTGGCTTGTTGGGGCAGGAGGCCCGAGCTGCTTCTCCCCCCTCATCGCACGTCCCCCTCTTCTGTCTGCAAGCTTCTCCCTCCCACGAGCCCTCGCAGTCCACACAGGGCAGTGGAGCTGTGGGTCACTTACCGGGATGGGCCCCACTGCCGCACAGGTACAGGCCCCAGAGAGGGGAGCGGTACCCAGAGTGCAGTGGCGCCGGGCGGGCGAAGTAGAGCTGGTCCAGGCACATTGCACAGTGGAATATGTTCTGTGGAGACAGGGCCGTGCTTGTGAACACCGGAGTGCTGCAGTCTTTTACTACCCTGGCTGGGTCTTTTTAAAAAAGAATTTAATTTTATTAGTACAGGTTTACAGTTCCCGCAGTTTAAAATCGTCTTGGGAGTGGTTACATGTACATATGATAGCTTGTTTCCTTTTTTTTTTTTTTAAATCCTTTTCCCCCTTTCCTCTCCCTCCCTCCTCTCTCTTTCAATTTCCCGTCCCATTTTTCATTCTTGTTGATATTATTAATCTTAGCTCATGCTATGGCATATGATATTTATATTAATTGAAGTCATTAGGTTCCTGTATATGGCATATCTTTATTCTACTTATTTCCCCTTCCCCAGTACAAGGGGTCTATCTCCTCTTCCCTATTATACTTCCCTACCACATCACTTCCCTATTGCAAGAGGACTAGTTCTCTGTTACAACAAGTCTATCTCCTTGTTCCCTTCTGTTCATCCTTTATTCTTCTCTTGGTGCTTTGCCTCACTCAAATGAGAGATACCATATGGTTTTTAAGTTTGTGTGTCTGGTTTATTTCACTCAACATACATTTTCCAGATGCATACAAATGTCTCAAATCTCTCACTCTTTATAGCAGAATAGTACTCCATTATAGATAAATACCACATTTTCTTTATCCAATCATCTGTTGATGGGTATACAGGCTCTTTCCAGGATTTAGCACTTACAAGTTGTGCTGCTATAAACATTGGTGTGCATGTATCACTGCAATGTCATGTTTTAAGCTTTTGGGGGAAGACATAAAGCAAGGGGATCACTGGGTCACGTGGAGTTGCTAATTTCAGTTTTCTAAAAATCTCCGTACTGATTGTACTAGTCTCCATAATGGTTGTACTAGTTTACATTCCCACCAACAGTGAAAGAGGGTTCCTTACTCACCAGAGCCTTGCCAGCGTTTGTTATTGTTTGATTTCTTAATAATTACCGTTCTTTCTAGAGTAAGATGAAATCTTAGCATTGCTTTAATTTGCATTTCTCTAATGGCCAGAGGTGTTGAGCATTTCTTCATACATTTGTTACAATTTGTATTTCTTCCTCTGTGAAGTGTTGGTCCATTTCACTTACTCATTTCTTGACTGGATCTTTAACTTTAGGTGTTAATTTTTTTAGTTCTTTGTATATTCTAGGTATTAAGGATCTGTCTGAGGAATAGCTAGCAAAATTTTTTTCCCATTCTGTAGGTTCTGCCTTTACTCTGCTCATTCTTTTGCTGTACGGAAGCCTTTCAGTCTGATATAATCCCATTTGCTATTCTTGCTGTTATTTCTTAAGTAATTAAAGTTCTGTTTAGAAAATCCTTTCGTATACCTATGTCTTCAAGTGTTTTACCTAGTTTATCTTCTAGTGGTTTTAATGTTTAGATCTTTGATCCATTTTTATTTTAATTTAGTATATGATGAGAGATAAGGGTCTAGTTTCAATCTTCCGCTCACAGATAACCAGTTTTCCCAGGACCATTTGTTGAATAGGCCATCCTTCCTCCAACATATGCTTTTGTCAAAGATCAAATATCTGAATGTGTCTGGGGAAATTTCTGTACCCTAATTCTGTTCCACTGATCCACATATCTGTGTTTGTTCTAGTACCATGCCAATTTTTATCACCATTGCTTTGTAATATAGCCTGAAGCCAGGTATACTATAGCTCTCTGCTCTGCTCTTATCGCCCGAAACTGCCTGTGCTATTCTGGGTCTCTTTTGGGTCCATATGAGTTACTTCTGGTCATAACAGCAGCCACAGATTTAATCTTACAACTGAACGGCAGTGCAAGGACCTGGCTGCTCAAGGAGGGCGCCTTTGAGGAAGGCCACGGGGGAGGGGCTGCATGGGTGTTGAGGCCGAGGGGCCGCGGTGCTAGGGGTCATTCATGTGGGCCCTTCATGTCTACGTCCCCACTCCCCCTGTTCCTTAGCTCTGGTCACCACTCTGTCACCTCCACCATGGTCTCTGCCACCATTCTTCCTTCCCAGTGAGGGCCAGGTGGAGCTGAGAGGGCAGAGCCAGGAAGTGGACTGAGAGGGAGAGTGATTCGAGACCTCAGGCTCATACTCACCCCTCCAGGAAGCCCAAAGACTCTCTCCAAATCTGGGGGGGTGAGGATGTCTCTGCCCACCACAGAGCCCTTGAAGCCAGGGGCGTAGGCCTCGATGCAGTCAAATACTGTGGGTCCAACAGCAGGGGACAAGATGGTATTGGGGAAAAAGAGGAGGTGGTGTTACGCTTGTACAATGAGGTAAATTTACTAAAATTCATTAAACTATATGCTTAAAAGAGTTTTTAAAGGCACATTATACCTCAGTAAGTAAAAACAAACAAAAACAATCCACAGGCAAAAACAGGTCATCACAAAGACAAGAGGTCTTAGGCTAGTCCAGGCCCCACTTTTTCCCATCTCCTTACCACAAGCCTAAACACAAAGGTGTTTGTGTTTGGAAAATGCAAAATAGTTTTCATCTCATTCCTTTGCTTTGCTTGAGCTACTTCTTTTTGCTTGGAATGCCCTTCACTTTCTAGCTAACTCCTATTCATCCTTTAAAACCCAGATCAAATATCCCTTCCTTTGAAAGCTTTCCTTCTCTCTCTGGCTCTTTGGCTCCTTCCTTTGGTTCAGTAAAATATGCAGTACTGCACTGACCAGTTTGTTGGTGTCCCTGACCAGACTGTGAGCAACTTGAGAGCAACTTGTTCTTTTGGCTTTCTTAGCCCAGTGCTTGACCCCAGTAGAAATTCATCCTAGTGATAGGAGGTTCCCGCCTGTTCTCCTCTCCCCTTGGGACAGCACATGTAGGTATTCACCCTGAAGGAGGCAACCAGGAGGGGAGGTTCCCCACGGGTCACATGGCAGTTCCCTTTACCGTTGTCTGCGTAAGCGTTTCTCTCCTGCTCGTCCCAGATCTTGCCTCCCGCCAGCGTGTAGGGCGTGTACTGGGTGAAGAGGGAGATTACGTGGCAGCCGGGAGGAGCCAGTGTGGGGTCCAGCGAGGACGGGATACAGAGCTCAATCATAGGCCTGCAGTGGGGAGGGAGAAGGGTTGGCCTGAGGAGAGGGGCTGGGGAGCCACTTGGAGGTGACTCAAGACACAGTAACGTCTCTGGGGCAACACCAGCGCTGGGCAACTTGTCACTGTGAGGCCACGGTGGTTATTTTTCACTCCCCCCTAGTTCCTGTCCGATAGCAAATCTTGTCAGCTTTACTTTCAAACTACACCCAGTATCTGGCTACTTCTCATCGCTTCCACTGCCCGCTCACCCTCTGGTCCAAGCCACTGTCCTCTTTCTGCCTTGGATTTTGCAGCAGTGACCAACTGCAACAGGTGCCCTTCCTTTTCAGCAGCCAGGCTGGTCTTCCTAAAGGATGGGTCCAGCTCTTCAAACCCTTCCTGGAGTAGAAGTCAGGAGCAGGCAACAAGACCTGATGGGATCGAGCAGCTCTGGTTCTTCCTCTCCACTCCGTCTTCATCCCTCTGCCTTCAACATAGCCACCCAATCCCACCCCCGAGCATTTGCACCTGACCTTCCTTCTCTCTGGATGTTCTTCCCCCAACCATCAGGACTGTGTTCTCTCTTCTTTCAGTTCTCTGCCCAAATGTCACATTATCAGAGAGGCCTCTCCTGGCCTCCTAACCAGCAAACCCTCCCCTTCTTGCCTCGTTTTCTCCATCGTGCTTATCACTGATACACACTTGTGGATCATCTCATCTTCTCTCAACGGAAGGTCAGCAACTGAGCCTTTGCCTGTTGCCTTTGCGTGGCACAGAGCAGGGGCCTCCAAACATTTACAGTGTGATGAAACACTCCGCATTGCATCCTTCTCTAGGACCAAATGCTCCTTACCATAGGATACATAATAGCTTTTTTTTTTGTTTTGTTTTATTTTTGGTACCAGGAATTGAATTCAGGACCTTGTGCTTTCCAGGCAGGCACTTGTGCCACTGAGCTACATCCCCAAAATAGCTGTGCCTGGCAGGTCATTCGCTTTTTTCTTTTGTGCCTCTGACCTACACCCAGTACAGAGCTTGGTATGTGTAGGTTTTCTATCTGCTGGCTGATGGACAGGATGGAAAGGTGTGGGGCTCATAGTGTCCCTGTCTGCCTAGAAGGACAGACATAGCTGTGGTAAGATGCAGGTATACTTTTAGAAGCTTTGCACGAAGGCAGCTTATGGCATAATGAAGGGTGCCAACTGGGGCTCAGCGTGTGCCTCATCAGGCCTCTGAATCAGAGAGCCTCATTTTCTCTCCGAGAAAGCATCTTCTTCCCAACACCAGCACTGTCCTCAGTAGGGCTTGCTCTTCTGCTGCTTGTAACAGTCCCTGACATGTCCTGCTCCCTGGTCCACAGATTTTTCACCCGGGATACACTTCCTGTATAATATGAGGCAGATCCTAAGTCACCATAAAGGTTTAATTCCAAGCTGAAGAGTCCCTGCTGGGTCTAGATGGCCACTGCCCACCCTGGCCCATGTCAGAACATCCAGGGGATGTGCTATACATCCAGCACACCTACCTGTGGGAAGGCAGGCCACCCTTGGCATCTTCAAAGGCCTGATGGAGGAGGAGGGTGTTTTCACAGTTCAAGTGGATGGAGCACTGGTGATGAGGAAGTGGCTGGCCTCGGGGAGAATTTGGGGCTGCCAGGAAGTTGGGCAGCTTGTCCACAGCCACTGAAGGACCAAAGAGGTACGTCAGGTCCCTGGCTGTGCAGGGCTTCACTCTACAGTCACCACCCTGCTCACCCACAGGTGCACTGGAAGCCTGAAAGTGTGAAGTGTTTCACCTTCAAACTGGGGGTAGGCTGGAGCTCAGGGGATGGAGATGGCGTGGTTGGGTTTTCCCCTACATGAAGATGTCCCACTCAGAGAGTGCCAAAAGACTCCGTTCTGCCATCAGGTGTTCTTACCATTGATCTTGGTAACAGGAGACTGAGTATCCAGCTGGGCGATTCTCTCTATGAATGCCTCTGGAAGCCACTCCTGCAGGGAGAAGTCTCTGTGAAAGGCCAAGCATGGCCAAGGCGCCAAGGGAACCTACTTTCTTCCTTTGCTCAGGGGAGTCCCTCAAATTCTGTCTCTGGAAATCTTCATCATCCACCAAGCCACCTCCTCTGTGAAGCCATCCCAGGGCCTCCCACTCAGCCGGACCTGTTCATTCTCTGAGCTCTGTCAGTAGCCTTGCTGTAAAGTAGCTCCCACCTTGCTGATTTTCTCTTCTATTCTGTAAGCTCTGGAACTCTTGATATCTAATTGCTTTAACTTCACAAGATGCATTGCACTGATGATTGTTAAGTTGTGTTAGTGGAAGCACTCAGAAAGAGTGGTGCTACCCCAAACAGTCCCCAGAATGACGGGTAATTCTGTGCTCACACACACACACACCATCTTCTGGGGACAGAGAAGGTGTGGACAACTACAATAATCATCCCAAACTCTCAGCCCTCTGTATGTGAATGTCCCTTGCTCATGTAACTTTGTGTGCATTCCTACTCTGACTTTGGGTTTAGCTGTGAAACTTGCTTTGACCAATGTTAGAACATAAGATGCAAACAGAGAAAACAATATGCTTTTTGCAATCCGTGATTGAGCTTGCTGGCTTCTCTGCCAGGCCCTGAGAACACACCTGGACTACTGTGCTAGCAGGCTGAGAGATACACGGAGAAGAGTCAAATCACCTTGGTCCTTCTTAAACTGTCCTGAACTAGCCACAGGCAGCCGATTCGGAGGCATATGAAGTACAGCAGAGCTCGTCGGCAGCCCCACAGCTGACTGCGTGGACATGAGCAAGCCTAAGCCCAGATCACTGTAATTCAGCCAAGATCTACTGAATTCTCCATGTCTGCCAGCTACTATTTCTTCTTCTCTGCCCAGAAGCTTTGCATTTGGTTGTTTTGCAACATCAATATGGTGACAGATCTTTGACACAGATGGTGGAACTAAAGTGGGTGAGAGAATAGAAATCAAGATAGTAGGAAAGTTGTAAAAGTAACTGTAGACAGCAGACCAGACATGGGTTCTAGTGCTGGCTCAGCAAGTCACTGCCAGCTGCACGGCCTGGGTCACCTCCCCTCTCTGGATCTTCCTCCTTACCTATGCGGCTTCTCTCATTTGTTACCTGCCCATTACCTGCTCACTTCCCCAGAGAAGGAGACAACACTCTTTGCTCTCATCCTCATGCAGTCCCCCATCCTCTGCTAGCAGACATCTCACCTCAGTTCTTGGCTCACCTGTGGTGTCAACTTCAGGAAGGTGACCTGAGGCGGCGCACTGGACAACACCACTTTGCTCCTCACCTCCAGGCCGTCCTGCAGTACGACTCCTTGCACGCGGCCTTCGCGGTTCACTTGCACCTTGGCCACTGTCTGAAGCACACCAGCAAGAGGCCTCAGAAGCCCCAGGAAGGAAGACTCAGGCTGAATCTGGTCAGATTCCCACTGTTCTCTGGACACTCATGTTTCCTCCTCCCACTCTAGCCCTCCAAACTTGGTAGCTTCTAGGGGAAGCCATGACACTCCCTACCAGGGAGCCTCAGCCCAAATGTGGCTAAGTGACTGGTGACTTCAGAGGAGCTGCTCAGAAAAACTGGGACCTCCCTGACCATTGCTCTGCTGCTACAGGATGCACTACCCTACAATCCCTGCCTGGACTTTAAGCCACACCATTTCCATCAGGAAACAAGGGCCCTTCCCAACTCAACTGCTCTGTGGCCTTGTCAATAACCAGGGGAGGGAGAGGCACTCACCTTTTCAGTGAAAATACTTGCTCCATGTACAGTGGCTGAACTTGCAATGGCATCAGAGAGGGCACCCATGCCACCCTGGACATAGGCCCAGGCGCCCTGCCTTCCCTCCAGGCCCCCCATCACATGATGCAGCAGCACATATCTAAGCACAGAGCATAAAACCAGGTGCTGGAGATGAGATTCCATCTCCCAAGGTTTAGGTCCAAATATTGCTTTCTGTTGTGTACCTTCAGCCTCTTTCTGCTCCCACCCAGCCCTTTTCATGATCCTTGAAATGAGCTCAAGGCCTTTGCCTTTTCATTCCCCATGCAAATGTGTTCCAGTGCAGTGTCCGGCTCACAGAGTGAGCTCAGTAAATGCCAGTCACTGCTGCTCCTCCCTTGTTCTCTCCGGGGAAATTGCTCCGCTCCTACTGGCCCTCACTCACCCACTCCCCGGAGTGTGGGGACTTGTCATGGCTCCAATCACAGCATCTGTTGCCAGAGTGGCTTTCAGAGGCTCAGACTCGAACCACTGGTCCAGCACCTGGACAGCAAAGTTGCAAGAAGGCCTCAGGGACCTGGCTGGCAGGAGAGGTGCCCAGCCACAGGTCAGGCCTGAGGCTGGGAAGCACTGACCTTGGTAATGGGAGCTGTGAGGACCTGGTAGTACTGGGGAAGCTGGGCCCCAAGGATGCGGCCTAGAACACAAAACAGCAATTGAGACAGGCTGTGAGGAAACACTGTGATCTGGGCCTATAGGATAAGAGAACTGCAGTACGGGAGGCAGGACAGCACGGTGGGTGCAGGCCACACCGTCCATCTTTGCAGATGTATGGCTTTGGACCTCTTAATGTCTCTGAACTTGTTTCTTTACCTGTAAAATGGGAGTTGTATTTCACAAGGACTACTTTGAGGACTAAATGACACATGTAAACATTTGCAAGCTGATTGCATTTATCTGTTAGTATGATTTTGGGAAAAGTTTTCACTTGTACCTTATCCCCTTATTTTAAACTCTGTAAGGTGCATTCCCTGGGCAGAGTCCTTTTCTGTGACATTGATGTAACCTTTGTCCTGGCTTGGTTTCATCCACACCAGCCTGGGAGCTCAATGCAGGCTCCAGGTGGACTCAGTGGCCATAGTCTACTAAGTGCTCATGAGTGGCAGCTGCTTGGAGGTTCAGGTTTATCTCCAGGCATTAAGAAAACAGGCCCCTCCCCCACCCATGAAAGCCACTACTCACATCCCGATGGACTCACCTGCCTTTAGCAGAGGCTTGAGGGTGGACAGTGCCTTCAGTCTCTGCAGCAGGGAGTCATGCTGGAAGGCCGCCATGTCCACAGGGGCTGCGTCCAGCAGAGGGTCAATGGCCAGTACCAAGCGGCTCATGAACTCCTCGTATCTGGGAAAGGCCTGGAACAGAGCTCTAGATCAAGGCTCCACTGTCCAAAATCCCACATGGACATATCTCCGTGTCCTGCCCTCCATGCCACTCCCGTAGGGCCACCGCACCCTACAGCGGAGCCCTGGTGGTTCCTAAGGCTTCATCTTCTGTGTAGCTTGGCCTGGTCCTGCTGAGTCCTCCTACCTCCAAGTCTGTGTGGACATCAGCACCAGGAAGAGGGCACGGGGGAGGCCACAGTGACCTGGGCGATATGAAAGTGACCAGGGAAAAGCATCTGTGTAGGCCAAAGCAGCCACAGAAAACTGGCAAGAGTCTTGGCTCACAGAGTGAGCTCAGTAAAACTGCCACAGCTTTGGGTGCTGTGGTGAGAACATTAGAAGTCCTTCCCTTTGTCCTTCTGTCTTGCCATATGTGACTGCTAGAAGTTGGTCTCTTCCTCAAACCCCAGGGTGCAAATGTTCTTTTCTCATCTATCAGTCTGATGCATCACCTCACACACGGCAACAGAAGTCTGCATCCCCTCATCCTATGAATTCTCACAACAAAACCCATTTCCTTCAGCTGGTTCTCAATGCCCACCCTCCCTCTGCTAGACCAGTGATGGGGCAGAAACAGGTGCCCATGCCTTTGAAGACCCTCCTGACTCTCCCTCCCACTCTCCAGTGGGCTGGGCTATACTCATGAATGCAGCCATGGAATTATAGTAAGTCACATAAAGGAAAGTCTGTGTTGAAGAACACTTCAGAAGTCTTGGAAAGAATGAAATTAAATAGTCGTCTCTAGAGCAAGCCTTTAAAATGACAACTTGCAAAGGCAAAGCCAGAAATGGGGCTCCTTATATTCCGTAATAGGAAATGAGCCCCGGCATCCTACGAATAGGCAGGGCCAGAGCCAGTGCTATGCTGACTCCTGCCTAAGGCATTTGAGATAGGCAGGGTTTGAAAGAGCGTGAAGCCCTGGTCCCCAGGCCAGTGCACAGGACAGTCACATGAAAAGCACTTGGAAAAAGCAAAGTTCCCCGGGTGACTGTCCTCATCAGCTAGGTTTAGAAACCTCTGGATGAAGAGATATGCATCGTATGTCTGTGGATCTCTAGGTTTCACCAAGTATTTGGTTAAGACAACACAAAGCAATGTACACGGATTGTACTAACCTATGGTCTTATAAAAATGTCTCCACTGAGATCTGATTTAATGCTATAGCTTCAGCTTGTATTCAGCCATTCAAAGAACCTTTCCCTACCCCTAGAACCCATCCTACCAGGCCCATTATATTATGTAGTGACTCATCTGGACAAAGTTACCCAACCAATTCCTAGACTGCAACCCAAGAAAACAGCATACACTATTCTTTCTTTCACAGATCTGCACACCATCAATGCACACTTTATTGTCCTGGGTGTCAGGGGATTGATGCCAAATTGAATGAATATTTTCTTAAGTTCCCGATCCAGTTCATTTTATTCTTAACTGTCTCTCATCTGCCCTTCATCTTCCTTTGTGGCTTTCATGTGGAGAAGCATTTGGGATTCTGTCTGAAAGCAGCAGGCATCTAAGGCACACACAGTAAACGTACATACCAGTGGATTCCCTTTCGAAATTCAGCATGCGGAGGCCATCTGGACAGTGGCCTCGCACGGAACACGCACAGGTTTTAGGGCCTTAACCACTGTCCTCCATCTCTTCTCTTCACAGGGCCTGAGATCTAAAGTTAGTTCAGACTGGAGCCTTCCAGGGAAGAAAGGATGCCCTGTCCAAGCCCGCATGGCCTTTGGACACTGTTCTAGGACAAGTCCAATCAGTTCCTCCCTTTCAAGAGCCTCATCCAGGCTGGTGAGGGAGGAGGAGCTTAGTCTCTGGTTACTTTTCCTACCTGGGCATCTTTCTGTGAGAACTGGGCGATCTGTTTCTGGTTTTCTGCCATGTCTTTGCCCAGCAGAAGGGATCTGGGCACTTTGCTCCCAGTACCCTCTTCCAGCATGGGGGTGAAGGAATGGGGATTTCGAAGATGAAGCCTCAGCCCATGTTTCTGCAGAACACAAAAAGTACAGGCAACATTTTATGGACTTATAGTGTCTGCTGTTGACCTTCCTCCAGCTGTGTTTGAGTGACCACTTGTGTAGCTGTATGCAGGTTCCTAAGGTGTGGGGTCCTGGATCTTCTTTTTTTTTAACGTAAGTTTATAAAAAGTCCTCTTGCCAAGACACTCGATGATAGACCATACTGTACCACACTTTACCACACAATGCCATACTATGCTTTTCCTGTGCCAGAGACAGTACCAGGGTTTACAATTACTACCTCACATCTCTGTAAGTACTATTATCCTCTTTGTGCAAATACTATGATGGAAATTCAGAGAAGTTAAATAATTTGTCCCAGATCACTTTAGGAGGTGGATCTAAGTTTCAAAACTACACTGCTGTGACTCCCAGCTCCTGGATCTCAGAAATAATCTATAACTGTCCCACTTCAGAAATAAATAATGAAAATTTAGAGGCACACATAAAACAATGGTTATGTGAAAATCCATACGTATAATGTAGATATATTATTTACATCAAAAATTTTATTTACTTTGTAGACTCACTTATTCCAGGGTCACTTTAAATAGAAGTTCCCTTGAAGTATTTAAAATATGATTTGATATGTTTGACCTGTGTATGGAACTTTCCCAGAGCACCTTTACTTCTCTATGGAGGCATAGACACAACAAAAAGGACCCGGACTACTAACCTAAAAGAACCTTATTCTGGCTGCTGTCTAGAGACTTCCTTCCCCCTATCTATGATCTGGACCCTCTCTTCTTTAAGGTTTCTGCTCAAATGTCCTTTATTAGCAATGCCTCCCCTCACCACACTAGCACTTCCTGTCCCCTCAACCTGCATTATTTTTTCCAAAGCCCTTGTCATCACATGGCTAATTGTATACATGCTTCCTCATCTTCCTGAGTAGAAGAGAAGGTCTGCGAGGTCAGGGGCACTGTCTATTTTGCTCACTGTTGCACCTGCTACATGGAGATTTAGGGCATCAATAAGCATTCTGCTGACTAGAGAGGTGAAGACTATGCTGCAGGCAGATGTGGCCCCAAGGGACAGAAATGAAACCTGTAAGTGTTAGGACGACACATGGACACCACAATAACCCCTTTCCAACAAGTACAGCTGGGACTGTTCAAACCAGAGATGTTCCAGATGGGCAAGATGGACAGGCATGGAGCATTTTGTAGAGGACGTTCTGAACACAGGATGCGGCTAGGGTGGGAGAACTCCATGTACTTTCTAACAGTAAGACTGAGAAATCTGACTCCAAGTTGGAGGATCTTCCAGCTTGGTTTCCTTAATATAATGTACTTGTTAAACCCCAGGTGCATCCTCAGAGTTCCTCTCTCCCCCTCACTCTTTGGCACCCCAACCAGAGCCAAGCCTTGTCAGCCCCTGCTGCACAAACCGTCCACTTCCTTCTACATCCACTGCACTGGGTCAAGCTGCCATCTTGTGAGGCCCTGTGGCAGCTGTCTCACGGATCTACCTGCGAGCCCCTCCTGCCTTCTCTACGATCCAGGTGGACTGGCCTTTTATAAAGTCACAAATCTCATATTCCACTTCCTGATTAAACACCTCGGCTGGCTTCCTACTATATGTGGATAAGATGCAGGCCCCTCATCATAGCCTGCAAGGTCCAGCCTGCCCCCTGCCCCTCCTGATGTCTGCTGCCCCTCCTCCTGTCACCAGTCTTCTCTGGCACACTGACCTCCCTTCTGCTCATGCCTGCCTCAGCCTGGCAGGCTCCACTTGCCTCTGGCTGGAACTCTGCTCAGATGCTGTACTACACTGGCCAGTGACTTTAGTTCACACGTCACTCCCTGAAGGATTTCCAGGTCACCAATGTAGGCTGGGCCCTCCAGACTTTCCCTATCATATTGCTTACTTTCTTTTCTTTCTGCTACCTACCTCTACCTGAAGTTCTGTTACTACCTCCAAGTTTAACACTATATCCCAAGGGTCTCTCCCAGGGCCTGGCAGAGCAGGTGCTTGGAACATTGACTAGACAAATCAATAAACCCTCCCCACATGGGACCCTGAAATTATTTCAAGTGTAACTAACTGAACATGAGTCATTTTTGACTGATTCTAGGACTTTCTCTTATATGGTGACTTTGTCATTCTTAATGGTTTTAATCACATGGAGTCAGAAAAAGGGGCATTTAAAATAGCCATTGACGACCTCCATGGGATTTGCTTAGAGCATGATGCTCTCTTAAAGTGAAAACAGAACCCATTCTCTGATTACCTATGTAAGTTTCAGCAGGCCTCGTCACTCCAGGTGGATCTTCTTGGGAAAGGTAGATCAGAGACCAGTGATATGGGATTTAAAAGGTGGAGTTCTCACTTGTGTCTGGGGGTGTCCTGTTTTAGAATGACCTGAGGATGTTGTAAAGTGCTGGTTCCTGCACCCCACTGCTTCTACAGAATAAGACTTCTGGGCAAGAACATTTGGAAATGTCCAATTCCCTACCAGTCTCCCACTCATTCTTATGAATCTGTAGGTCTGACAGCCTCGTTTTAGAGAGAGTTCCTACAGTGAAACATGAATAGAAGCACTATGGCTGAAACCTGGAAGATCAGTAGGGGAAGGAAGGGACAGAGGTTGCCTTGGCCCCCAACATCTGACAACACAAATAACTGGCACATTTACAAACTGCCCTTAGCTATAGTGTAGTATGGGTTGAAGACTCCAGGCCAACCCCTGGGTCCTAAATTGTGTTCAGTTCTGGTACCAGGGTACTTTCCCTTTCTCTCTCAGTAATTTCTTACCCCTGGCTTCTGCAGTTACCTAATTCACAGAACTCATCTACAGGAACCAGTTAGAGCAGCCAAAGAGCTACAAACAATGGCTGAGTATTATGTTAATTTCAAACTTTAAATTCAGGGCAAAATTAGTGTCAAGTGCAGAGCAGCTGGCAGCTGCTTGTACAGGAAACACCAAGGTCCCCCCCTTTGTAGGGTGGTGGCAAAGTTGATGGGAGGGCTAGGGGTAGGGGAGGAGGTTTGTGAGGGGCAGGGAGGGGCAAGTTGATGGGCAAAGTTTAGCAGACTAAGAAAGTGAGCAAGGGGCAGGTGGAGGGGAGTTAGAAAAGGTGAAAGTTCAGGTCCCACTTCTGGTCATGCTGCCGAGAATGGCAGCAGCTCCAAAGATTAATGAGGGCAGAAATAGGCCTGTGTCTAAGGTACCCCAGCAAAATCTGGTACTCAAAGCTCTAGGCAGCTGTCCTACTAGAGTCAGGTAAGATACCAAGAAATGACAGGGACAGGGCCAAGCCAAGGGGGCCCTGCCTGCGTAAGGCACTGCCAAGTGCCTTCATGTAAAACAAGCACCTTATGTTGACAAAAAAATTCTTCAAAAGATTTTTATGTGAAGTTTTCCCATTTGTAAAGACATTGGTGGGCTAGAGAACATGGATCTGTGCAATGCACTATGAGATTATGTGGGACAGGCAAGCCCTGGGCTGGAAGACAGAGCCCTGAGGTGGGGGGAGCACCTCAGGTACAGGACAGGCACCCCTCATCCCAGGTAGAGAGGATGGAACTGCTGCCTGCTAGCCAACTGTCAGTCACAGGGGCTGCTCTACCTTTAGCTCCAGCTCCGTGTAAATCTGCGGCCTCAGCAGGCTGAGGAGGTAGGATGCTCGGGAGAACTTAAACCCTAGAAGCAAACAGGAGAATGAATCACTACTGGTTACCCTCCCCGCCCCTCAACCTCTTAGGGCTTACCTGGGATGATTTCTTCAGTGACAGCAGCACCCCCGATCACATGACGCCTCTCAAAGACCACCGTGTTCACCCCCAGCCTCTGCAGGTACGCCGCCTGGGGGGTACACAGGGTTCTGCCCTTATCCCTCTGTAACTGGGATCTTTCGGCCTGACCAGTGGCTTCAGGGTCCTCAACGCAGGGCTAGCCAGTTTGCCCTCCTTGGTTCCTGCTGTTAAGGTGTTTTCTAATTTCCGACTCGCCTGCTTCTGCTCCCCTCCGTGTCCCAGCTAAAGGTAACTCCTTAGAGGCTTGGGTGCCCTGGGAGCTTACACTGCACCCCGCCCACCCTGCCGATGTCCCTCTCTTCCAGTGGGAGCAAGCCTCTTTCCCTCCTAGGAGCACAGCAAGAGGCAGCACGGTGAGGCTGAACTTCAGCACTCAGAGCCACACTCCAGGGGTTCAACTCCTCCTTCTCTTTCTGCTGAGCAGCTCCAGTACTTGATCTGACCGGCCTCAGTTTCCTCGTGTAAAAATGGGGCCAACAGAAATAGTGCTGAATTAACCTACTTCCAGGGCTGCCGTGAAGAGTACCTGAGCTAGTTCCTAGCAGGGACTTGAAATGGTCCCTGGCGCATGAGCTGTGCAATGAATGAAGCTAAGGCCATCGCAGAGCTTTACTCTGAGGGAAGAAATGATGCAGGTGCTTCTGTTGTTTCTCCAGCCCTTGGTGGAAAATCAATAAACTGGGCTAATCCTAGGCATAGTCTCACTATCTAGTACCAGTCTTCACATGAGCACTAAAACCAATGGGACAACAAGGAGAGTGGAGTGTAGGATTCAGACTTTTTAAAAAGTTCACTTGGCAACCACTATATTCCACACACTGTTGATACATCTCATTTAATCCACTCTTCTACCTAGAAGTAGGCACTGTGGATCTCCCCATTTGACTGATGAGAAAAGTGAGGCCCAGTGAGGCTAACGACTTGCCTCAGGCTCCCAGGGCTGATGAACGGAGGTGTTGGGAAGTGAGCCCAGAGTCTGAACCCAGGATCTAGAACCTTAACACATCCTACTGCGAACAAACAAGAACAGTCTCTGACGTTTGGAAACTGGGCTGGCATGCAGACGTAAGCACTCTCTGCTCCTAGTAGACATAAACTGTTTCACAGAATGACAACCCCGAACAGGTGTATTCTGAGACCGTGATAAAATGAGACACAAGTCCACTGCAGTTTTGACTAAACACAGAAATCAAGGTGTCTGTGCCATCCACCAAATGTCACACCCGCCCTCTCTCTGCCACAATGAATGCCTGCTACCACTTCACCGATTACTGATGTCCTCATCTAGTGAGGTCTGGACAAGATTTACAGATTCCCAGTCAAAGGGTTGTCCTCACTTTCTGACAGTGTGTAATCTGGAGAAAACCCCTACCTTCTCCGGCCTCCTTCAAATTATCCAACCAAAGCTCAAATCCTGTCCTAGGTTCTTTCTGAAAACTTCTTACTGAGACACCCCCGGTGTCCTGGCTTGGGTCTCCTTTGCTGCAGTGAGTAAGAAACTCAGCTTGGATAACCAGCTGTGGTCCTGTGCCCTTTGGAGGAAGGGCATTGACATTAGACTTCCCTGAGCTGGACACGTCCAATAAGAGCGACCACTGTGTCAAGTTTAACATGCCAGCCAGGTCTGAGCTGCACACTGTTACCTGCACAGCATCTCTGCGAGGTGGGAGCCATAATTCCCATTTTACTGTGGCTCACAAAGACTATGAGAAAACTGTTGGCCCGTTTTTACACAAGGAAACTGAGGCCAGTCAGATCAAGTACTAGAGCTGCCTCAGCAGAAAGAGAAGGAGGAGTTGAACCCCTGGAGTGTGGCTCTGTGTGCTGAAGTTCTACCTTTACAGATAGAAAGTAGTAGAGCTGGGACACAAACCCACATTTACATTGATTTAATAAGAAAATCAGTGGTAAATTTACTGTAGACTGTTCAACTAAAACTGGTACATCAGGCAAGGTGTTAAGGGTTAGCAAATGTCCCTTGACATCTCACATTGTTTCTCCAAGTTCCCCTATCTTTTTTTATTTTTTTGCAGTACTGGGGATCAAACTCAGGACCTTGCGCTTGCCAGGCAGGCGCTTGTGCCACTGAGCTATATCCATGGCCCCTAAGTTCCCCTATCTTGATAGTCCAGAGCTGCTACTGCTTCCAGGTGATGGCCCACATTTGTTCTGTGGCCGTAAGATCCTCAGTGGCCTCTAGAGGCCTATGGATTCATGGAGGAGCACAGCTTGGGGGTGACTCTGGCCCAGCTAGCGTGGCATCTAGAAGCCAGCTGTGCTGTGCATAGGGTCCTTGGCCACTCCGTGAGGTGGGGCTCCTCACCTTGCCAGGGCATACTTTGGACACACAGCAGCTGTGTGATCTGGGTGACACATCACTTAACTCTCACCGGGGAGCACAGTCCCACCCAACCCCAGGTTCCTGAGGCTCCAATCTGCTTCCTCTGGGCCAGCTATGCGCATGTGCTTTCCCACTTTTCATCAGCACGCTTCTCAGTGCTCTGCCCTCCCACAGGGCAGAGGGGGACCACGTGCCTCAGGACAGGACAAGAGAGGGGACTGTGACATCCCCCCTAACGGGCTCTAGATGCACACTGGACCAGCGCCTGCTGGGCACTGGGAGCACTGACAGCTGTCCTGGGCCTTAACCCTGCCCGCTTCCTCATGCTGTGCCTCGCAGTGCTGAGAGTCACAGGCTTCAGGCCCCGTGACATGGGCCCAAGAGGGAAGTACTCACAGCCACCAGCCCGTTGTGTCCTGCAATGAGAAGCGGGAGAGGAGGAAAATGTCACTGATCAGTGGACAGATACACACATTCCTTGGGGGACTGAGCTCACTCATCCCTGCCCCAGGCCAAGAAAAGCATTGGTGATCTTTTCCACCCTGCACTGGGATGTGGAAACAGCCAATTTAGGAGGAGTCAGAAAACTCCAGTTCTGTGCTGGCTTGAAAAGAATGCTGCCCTCTGGCTTGGTCAGCAGCTCCATCCTGGACTGAGGGGTAAGGAGAGATCCATGGTCGCCTGGGTTTCCATCACTCGGGGAGGAACAAGTGCCTGTCCGAAGGGGCAGCACAGGTCACATGGGGGGAAGGGCTGGTGCACAGGGGCCGTCCAGTGCTGCTTAGGTGGGGAGCTGCGGCCCTGGGTTCTTTATTTGGTCCACGTGTGGCTCATGAAGGGCCCAAAAGGGCCTAAGAGGGCTTTACGCATATAGAAGTGTCTCCATCAATCTAGTTTTCCAAAATGACATGAAGAATAATTCAACACATACAGCTTCAAGGTGTGCTTAAGGGTGCTAGCTGATTGGGCAAAGCTTTCTGTCATATAGTTTTCTTTTTAAAATATGAGGAGGGCTGTCCCTGGTTTTAGGGGTCCTGTGTTCCACAGCACGCCATGGATAGTGAGCGCCTCTCCAGCGCTGACAAGTTAAAAACCATCTGGGGAGTTCGGTAAATGTCAGTTCCCAGACTCCTTTCCAGGAGGATCCCCAACAAGTTGGTGTGTATGTGCTCCCTGCTCATTCCTGCTCTCTGATGCAGCTCTGAGCTGAGCTGGTCTCTTCCTTCCACTACTCAGGAGAAAAAGCAGCTGGTACTGGAGAATCACTTAGGCCCCAGTGGTTGTCAGCCAGCCCCTGGGTTGGTTCTTTTTGTCCTTGGTGATAGAGGGCCTCTCTGAGTCTTTAAATGTCAGTAGATGGTCATGACTTCTAAGGGTGGACCAAGGTTGACTCAAATGAAATGCCTGACTGTTAATATGACAAGTATTCATAAGCAGGGGAGGGCTGACGACCCACGTGATGGAAATTTTTTACGGCTGGGTCAGTGTTAAGTTTGTCATGTAGAGACTCCCAGAATTTTGGAGGTCACTCAGCCACCTTCTCACTCATTAATGGAATCTCTGAGTTTTTCAAACCCCTTTGACTATGAAAAGCACTTTATACCACGATCTGGCACAGGTTCCATAAATATATTTCATAGAAATAAGAGGTTCATGAACTAGTATTAATTTTCATCACATGATAAGCATATGACAATCTATTTGGCTATATTTCATTTTAAAAAGTGCAGAAAATGTTTTCTAAGAAAGATGAAAAAAATATGCTGGTTGGGACTCGTGAATGACATGAACTTGCAGCTTGAGAAGTCCTTGCTTCCATACATCCCCTGGGTTCAAGGCAGACAGCCGTGGCTCATGCTGGCTCTACTGCTTACCTTGATGGCCCTCAGAGAAGCATTTAACAGTGAGGAGCCTCATGCTCCCCACCATATTTGAAACAGAGAGGATGCCAAGGACCTTGCAGTATTGCAAGGAGGATTAACCAATAATATCCATAAAGCACATGGCCTTCGCAGGCCTGCAATAAAAATGGTAGCTATTTGTCTTTTAATTAGTAGTGATTATCAGTCTTGGAAAACTAACAACATCTTCCAGGGAACTGGGTCTAGTTCAGTCATGGTGTGTTAGCCCACAGATGCACAAACAGACCTCACATGGCAAAGGTCCAAGGGTCGAGGATCCAATAGCTCAGAATCCTCCCAAATTCCAGCAGAGCTCTCCTGTGGCCTTGGAGGGTCCTAGGTTGCCTCCCAGGCTCCCCGGGCAGCAGGACCTTGAGAGGGGCTGCCCTGACACAGGTTCTGCAGCTGTCTGCAACAGACATACTCACAGCACTGGTGGGGTACATGTATTAATACACACAATCTCGATCACCTGTTAGGAGGCCTGGGAACCTGCACTTTAACATGCTTCTCAGTCATTCTTGGGTATATCTGGTCAAATGGTGAGATCAGGGTCTCTTTGTAAAGGCTGCCAGGGACTGATGACTTCAGGGACTCAGATATAACCCTTATCTCATAAGATGCCCCTCTGTCCTCACTCAGACCTGCATGCCTTTAAATCAGGCTTCAAGGTATATTCGCAGTTAATGAAGCCACGTGAAGGAAAAACTTGCCCTGAGGTTCACTCACAAGCGTGGGCAACTCACCAAGGCAGCTGGTGACCCAGCTTCCACATTGCCCATTAGGAACTAGCAGCTGGGCTGTGGACAGGAGGAAGGAGTAGGGGGCTTCTCTGAGGCTCAGAGGCCCCGGTGCTGCCCTTCCCGAGCCCACTGAGTGTGTGCTGGAGCTGTTCCCACCGCCCAGGGGTCTATCAATCAGTTGTCAATTATAGCCACTGTTAAAAAATAAATTATAGAAGCTTCCCATCAAATAAATGATATTAAAAACAAAGGTAATAACTACCCCAAACTCATTGCTTTGTAATGATTTTACTACATTTGCCCATGGCCCATGCTCTTGTGGTCAGACACCTGCCTCTGTGTACCTGAGTGGTGCACACAGACGGATGTGCCACTGCGTATCTCTCCCAGATCACACGCAGCCACCTCCGTGGTAGAGAAAGGCCAAGGCCACGTGGAAGTGCTTACCATAGATGTCAGCTCATAGCACACATCAGGGCTGGATCCACTGCTCTGGGGATTGTTAGGCTTAAGAAAATGACGGCAGGTTAAATTTAACCAAGCCTCTTGAATCTGTAGCTGTTACACTGGGGATAAACAACACCAAAAATGGCGAAAATATTCTCCAGTACTAGGAAAATATCATCTGACTGAGCAAAGTCATGGTAGTCATTGAAGAAGGAACAGAGTTGGGATATAAATCTTCACTGTTTCACTTTTGCGGTATTCCTTCAAGTAAATGCAAACATCAAGCGTTCCTTTCACAACTGTATCTACTGGTGAATGGCAATGGTAGGCTGGCTACTCGCATTTGGCAAAAATGAAGGGTAACATTCTGTTAAGAATCACCTGGCAACCCCTTGCAATGGTGCCCACCTGTAATCCCAGCCACTCAAGAGGCTGAGATGGGAGGACCACACACTTGAGGCCAACCTGGGCTACTTAACAAGATCCTGCTTCAAAACAAAAAAAGCGCTGGGATGTAGTGCAGCGGTAACATACACAAGACTTTGGGTTCAGTTTCTAGCACAGGGGAAAAAAAAGATTTAATTGGCTCCCTGGAATTTAAGAATATTACATATCTGATTCGTACAACTGTGCTACAGAGCGGTAGAGAGTCCCTAAGTTGAATCCCCAGTGTTGAAGACAAAACCAAAAAAAAACCCCAAAACAAAGAAAACCCTTGTGTGCTACACATCTTCATTTCAATGAGGACCCGCCAGCTCACTGCTTTTAGTACACATGAGAATGGAGATGCCAAAACAGCGTCAACTCTGAAGCTGTGATAACTTCAACAGCATCTTCTTCCAGGCCTGTCACTGGCTCTGTAGAACCGTGCCTTCCTGGCCCTCTCCAAGTGTGGGTGGGAGGCCTGGCGGAGGGTAGTCCGGCCCAGGCCACCTCATCCAGCCACCCAGCAAACCTGGATATTTTAAGCAAAGGGACAGCAAAATGTTGCAGGACCACTACAGCACGACTGAGGGAACGGCAGTGGGGCCGTCAGCCTCTGTGGAGATACGGTAGGGTCTCTGGGACTCAGTTCTATTTTTTCTTGTCTTTATGATTCTGGTCAATCTTTATGATTTTGCTCATTTTGCAGGACACACTGGGAAGCCCCTGAGCTCCTTCCTTGTCATTCTAAATGGCAAGACTTAAGACCAGAGCGGGCAGGTTTTTCCCCGCCTGCACACATCAAGCCCAGGGCAAAGCCGGCACCAGAACTGCAGGATCCTGACTCCCAGACCAGAGGGCTTCCGTCCTTGCGCCAGACTTATCCAAACTTCCGGGCAAGCGCAAGCGGTGCCCTAAGCAGAGCAGGCGGTGGGGCGCGGTAAACACCCCTCCCCCAGGCCTCGGCGCGGGGCTGCCTGACCTCCCTCGGCCGTGGCTCCTCTGCTTTACCTGCTCCTATCACCACCGCATCGTACTCAGCCTTCACGTGTCCCCCAGCTTCCGAGTGAGCTCGTCTCCCAGCAGGGCCGGGAGAGACCCCCACAACCCTACTGAGCGCTCGGCAGCTAGCAGCCATTTCTGCCTCTAGGAAAGTGCTGGCAGTCAGCTCTGTGCACCAGCCAGGCAGCGGGAGGGGCAGGGAGGGGAAGTGGGAGGGGCTGCAGGCCTGCGTGAGGGCTCGGCCTTGGGCTACACAGGATGCAGGGGTCGAGGGAGGAGGGTGCCTCCGGAGGCAGAACAAGGTCCACTCAGAGGACCCACTGGAGCGCCCGTGCTCCAGGCCTCCGTGCACCTACTTGGCAGGGAAGGCCGGTGGCGGAGCCAGGGCCAGTCCCCCTCCCCTTTTCTTATTAAAGGGACACGCAGCATGGGAACCCTGCAGAATGGGAGGATGGCCAAGTCACACTCCACTCTGGCGCCCTGTCCTCCTGCAGGTGGTGCAGCTCCATACTCACAGGCAGCCACCGGGAAGGAACTACCACAGCAGGGCTGGGACCCGAATCCTCGCAGGTATCAGGGATAACTACAGAAGTCAAGGTGCTCGGTTAAACTAGATACCTGATATCATACAGCTGCTAAAATGTAAGAGAACACATCAAGTTTTTAAAAATTAGGTGTCCTAAACAGTGGGGGGCTTACAGGCTCAAATGTTCTTCCTTTATGTTCTTCTGTGAGACCAGTCCTTGGCAGTTTCAGTGCAAGACAGACACAAGAGGCTGGGCTCCCCACGCGCACACCGGCAGCCACTCCTCTCTTCAGCGACTGTGTATTTCAGCTGCACCTCTTCTCGCCATCCAGCACCACCTCTTTGCCCAAGAGAGGTGGACACTCCTGTGTCCCAGCACTCTGACAGACTCTGTCCTTGTGTCCGTCCCAGGGTAGGAACCCTTTGGTTAGAAGAGAGGGGCTGGACCCCTCTGAAGTGGTCTTAATCCAGGGCACACACTAACCAAGGGAAGCTGAATTGCTGGGCCAGGGCCTGGAGCTCAGAACCACAGCCCCAGAAGAAGTAAACCAGCTTGGAGGGACCAGCACCTAGCAGGGGCTTCTCAGCAACAACCAAAGGTCCAGACACACGGCACTTTAGGCTTGGATGAGAATAATAACCAACATTTATTGAGTACATACCAGTGTTCAGTAATCCTCCCAACCACCCCAAGAGGTAGGTGTTAACATTTTGAACATGGGGAAATGGGCCTAGCATTTCCAGAAAGTCCAGAACTGTAGAAGTAGCAGGAGGGTGGGGCAGGAGTGCTGGGATTGAAGCCAGCCAATGGAGCACCTTTCATCTGGGGTAGGAAAAAGAGCCCCTCCTTGCGGAAGAGCAGCAGGGGGTGGGTCTTCAGGCAGCCTGAGTTCTGGGCACTTCCTCTCTCTCCTGGGAACAGAAGTAGCTCTGAAAGAGGAGCCCCTGCCATCTCACAGCCATGAGGACCTCACAGCCATGGCTGTTGTAAAGAGGAAGCCGGTGTCCTCTCTTTCCCTCCGAGGGGAGGATTCGGGGCTTGCTTGTCATCCTACTTGGAGGTGGTCCAGGTAGGATTCAAGAAATCCTGGGCCTGCTCTGAGACCTGTGTGTATCCTCAGGAGGCAGCAGTGGGCTGGCGCGAGGAAGCTCTTGCATAGGGAACATCTGTAAGTGGGCCGGCTGGAGAACAGGCACACACGCCTACTGCACTGGGCAGTGCAGCCTAGCTTAGGGCAGGGGCACGCGGGAGGCCTCACCCAGGTTCCGGGCCAGCTGGCTGGCTTGCTGCACCAGCAGCTCAGTGGGGATGACCGACAGGTGCAAAGCCAGCAGCTCGTAGCACCTGACGGCCTCAGCTGGGTGGCTCTTGCTATAGTAGCGCAGGAGCTTCCTGGGGGAAATGGGAGGATGGAACTCAGGAGCAAGGACATGGCAAGGGCCCAAGCCAGGGACCAGCCTGGCCAGCCAGTCAAATGCTCATCTCTCGGTCCTCTCACTGGGCCCTAGCTCCTGGGCTTGTTTCTGATGACCCAACGGGGGCTCAACCCTGGCGGAAGTTCCTCTCTTGGAGGAACATGGCTGAGCATCCTAGCTAAGGGGAGTCAAGAGGGGAAGTTCTGGGCCCGCACAGACATCTCCCCATGGTGCCAAAGCAGAGCCAAGTGCAGCACAGGACACAGATGTCCTCCCCAGGAGATTCCTGCCCCATGGGATGTTGGGCCAGCCTGTGAGGGCCCCCACCCGGGGCTTCCAGCTTTTGGGTGGGGCATTCCTGGAGGAGCTGTCCCCCCACTGGGGGGCTGCCGTCATCACCCATGTAGGGCCCCCATATCCTGAGTCAGAATCACCTGTAGTAGTCACCTCCCAGCACACCAATGGGGACCGAGTCATCAGAGAGGACAGGCACCTCGATCATCTGGAGTTTGTAGCCCTGCGGAAGGAAAAGGTCTTGGGAACAGGGAGGCGGTATGTGTGAGTAAGGAACATGGGCCTAGGGAGATGAACTGGGTTGAGCCCTGCCATGGCCCTATGGTGTGCTCAGTGCTGGGAAAGTACCTTCATACAGGAAGGTGATGACAGTGAAGCACTACTGACCGAGTCACTGCCTGAGGCGTGATCTCAGTGTAGGCATGCATCTATCATTCGGGTTTACTTGGATACCGCCTGAACAGTGGCATAGGTCTGCTAGGTAGCGGGTGGAGGGACTGCAAAGTTAGATGCGGGAGTGACAATGAATGTGACCTAGGTTCTGGGTCCCAGCCACTGTGCTTACCTATTGTTACACAAGGGCCAAGAAGAGAAGAGAGACACAGACTGAACGCTATGCAGAAAAAAGGCCTCCAAGGGTGCCTAAGGACCATCCTGCCCTGGGAACTGGCAAACCCACCATGTCGTTCTCGAACCACAGGAAGTAGGAGCAGCAGAAGTCTCCATCATGGGTCAGCAGGGTGGTACAGCCCTTTTGCAGGTACCTGCGTGCCAGCTGGATCAGAGCCCAGACCTGGGGAAGGAGACAGTGTTTAGCTGTCTTGCATGGCCCACCAGGCAGCTCCTCTTCCCTCAAAAGGAAGAAAGGAATCGGTTCCTGGTACCGGAGAAAAACCAAAAAAAAAAGGAAGAAAGGAAGCAAAGCACTGTGCTGAAACACTTCCAGAAGGGGTAAAGGGATGGATGGGGTGCCCCTCTAGCTGTTGCAGGGATAAAATATATAACTGTACAATGTATACAAGTCACAAATTAGTAAACTGATCTTTCAGGCTACACAGCATCCCAAGACACTCTAAATGAACATGGTGGTAGGAGATCAAGGTGTGGCCACTGAGAAAGGCCCCCTGCATAGCTCCCAACTCACCCCTCCGCTGAGGGTTGGGCTGTAACACACGGGTCCACACCTGCAGCTTGGATGCGTGTCAGAATGTACAGACATCCAGAGCTAGGCATGTACTCTGCTGTGAGGGTCAAGTACAAACCCCAGATGAAAAGAGTGGACCCGAGGAACCATCTGCCTTGGTTCCCCTCTCCTGGGGTTGCTGTCCTACCTAAGCGGTGCCTATAACCGAGGCTGTGTGAGAGATGCGCAAGGGAAGACAGCCTGACTGCTCAGCTACCCTCTTACAGTCGGGCCGGGAAAAGATCTTGTGGGCACTCTCACTAAAAGCCCTACTGGAAGGGAAGTGAGATTCATTCCATACCCGGTCACAATATACTAATTAAATCTAGACACAGATATATGGATTGGCTATATTTGAGAGGAAAGCAACTTGACAACATACATTAATAACCTAAAAAACACTCCTCCCATTGACTTAGTAATTCCATTTCTTGGAATCTCTAGTGAAGAAAGAATGAGAGATGAGAACTCTGGTGTATGCACAAAAGGTGTGTACTGAAGAATTATTTATAACAAAAGCACAGAGATAATTTAAAGGTTCAAATACTAGGGGAATAGTTACATGAATTATGTTACAGTCCCATGATAGACTATTACAGAGTTGCTAAAAATCATGTAATGGAAGATTTACCAGCATGAGGAGTGTGTGGTGAAAATGTGACAAACACAGCTGTACACAGAGTGAGCTCAAGTGCAACAAACTTCACAGACAATAACAAAAGCAATGTGTCAGAGAGCCTGACCATCTCCACAGGGAAGGATGAGGCTGAGGTCAGCAGCGACAGGGGCGCAAGTGCTCTATGAACTGTATCTGTGTCATACAATTATGCTAAATATTTTACATGCCTTATCTCATCATCTTTACAATAATACGATGTCTGTACAATAATACAGTATCGTCGTTTCCTTTGATGAGGAACCTGAAACACACAGCTAGTGAGAAGCAGATATGTAGCCTTCTGCTACCCAGCTTATCTGAATCATTATGATAGACTTTATTTGGACAAAAATCATAGTTTGGCAGAAGAATCCCAGCATTCTATGAGGCTGAGGCAGGAAGGTTGCAAGTTCAGGGCCAGCCTGGGTAACTTAGTGACCGAGAGAGACCCTGTCTCAAAAATAAATAAAAAATTAAATAAAATGAGGGAGGATGTAGCTCAGTGCAAAGGCCCTGGACTTAATAACCAGTGCTGCAAAAAAAAGAAAGAAGGAAGGAAGAAAGGGAAGGAAGAGGGAGCAAGGGAAGAAGGATGGGAGGAGAATTTCCTTTTTCCATACAAAAAAATAGAAGTTATCCATGAAAAAGATTCAGTTAAATTAGGAGAAGAAAAGAACTCCCAGAGTATGTGTCCTCAGTGGGAAACACCTAGTTCTAAATTCTGATGGTTCTCAGGGTATAGCTCAGTGGTAGAGTATTGCCTAGCAGATTGGAGGTCCTGGATTCCATTCTTGGTACCACAAAACAAACAAAAAAACAGACAGACAGAGGAAATTCTGATGCCCAAATTGACTGACCTTGTAGCTCTTTCCATTTTAGCTAGTTCCCACATAATTGTCGAGCATCTACTTATGCTAAGCACTGGCCATCTCCTCCCCTGACCTGGATGCCCAGGACACTGTGCTAATGCACATCTGATCACGGCAGGTGTTGTTGCCCCATACGGACCAAAGGCCCACCTACCTCTGGGTACTGGCCCCTCAGGTCCAGAACACAGCAGGCCTAACAGGGCACGCTGACATTGACGGACGAGTGCAGTAAGGGTTAGGCTTGGGGCACTCAGAGTTCCACAGGACGGTGTACAGGGGGTAATGGGCCTGTCCTTCCTGAGTAGGGGTCAGGCATCAGCATATCCCACCCCATGGGCAATGAAGAGAGCTAGGGCCAGAGGAACAGTTACCTTGGCTTTGACAAAGGCAGCCAGGGGCCCCTTGCCCAACTCCGATGAAGTCTTTTCACTGTTGCCGAGGGAAGGAGCCACCATCTGCCCTGTTGTTCGATCCACATAGATGAAGTGCACCAAGCCCGGGAAGTCCTCCAGGTAGGTAATGGCCTGAGTTAAGGAGCCTAGAGAGCCAGGGACCATGGAAAGCAGTGCTCTGGGGGGCAGTGGCTGGTGGAGAAGAGCTCCCTGGAATGCTTTCACCTGTCTCCTGAAGACCAAAGACGCTGGAGACTAAGGCCTGATACTCCGGAGCTTTTAGAATAGGGACAGTGGCTTGAAATTCCCTGGCAAATAAGTACTCAATAAAACTAGTGTTCCATGATATTAGGGTCAAATAAGTCTTAGAAATGATTCTTTAAACAGGGATACATGTTTACTGCAGGCCATGTCAGGACCTTTACATGCTATAGGGTATTGTCACAATCCAAGGAGAATGGCATGGACCTCCTGAACCAATCAGATCTCTGAAACCCCTATCCTTCCTCCTAATACCTATTACCACTTTGCTGGCTAGACAGCACTGACATGAAGGATCTTTAGAGCTTTTATGAGTTAACTTTGGGACAGGAGGATTTTTAGAACTTTGGCCTTAGAGTATCCTAATAGATGAGGGATGTGGGACACTATCTTTCATTATTTTTCTTCAAAGAAAGGAACTGGTGGAAAGCATTTCCTTCCCCAGAGGTTGGAGCCCTGGACACAGGCTCTCCTGGGTGGGCTGAGCCAGGCATCAGGATATGACACCATGGTGATGTTCCTCCTGCTCTTCACCAACAGGAAGTCCTTCCAGTCCAGCAGCCTTTCTCTGCCAAGAGGAGCAGGAAAGTACGGCAGCTGTGAGGGCCCCAAGCTCCTCTTACTCCTGCTCCATCGAGGAACAACTCCACACTTACCGCATGAGCCTCTGGGCTTGGTCCTGCAGGATCTGCGGCAGGTGCGGGCCTCCTCTGCTGGGCGCTGTGCTCAGGAAGCTGAGCCGGTAGATGGCGCAGAGCTGCCGCTTCAGCTTCCCACACATTTGGAGCAGCCTGGACGCCAGAAGGTGACCGCATCACAGCAGGAAAGGTACAGCGCCTGGCCCATGTGGCCATGCCCATCAAGCACAACACACCCCTTCTGAGGGCTAGGAGGCAGCTTCCCAGCTCTCCCCAACATGGCACCTGGCTCTAGGGCATCTCTGCCAACACAGCATCTTGCTAATTATTGTAGGCAGCGACCTGCTAGAGGTAGCACCCAGGCAGCACTGCAACTGCAGCTGGGCTATTTGGACACCAAGTGCCCTTACACTCCACCCACTCCCAGCTCTGTCCCTGCAGCCTGTGGGCTGACTCTCTGCTTTCCCTAGGACCTTGCTATGCATCGGCTCCTTCCTGAACTTCTCCCTTGGAGCCTGCAGGGACTTGTGGTCGGGAGAATACCTGTCCTATCCCACGGACTCCCCTTGTCCTCAAGGGCTTCTACTTACTCTGATCCCGGTTCAGTTCTGGAGAAAGCCTTGGTCTTAAACTCCAGCCAGGTGCTCTGGAAGGAGGATGGGTAGTTACTTTCCAGACTATTCACATAGTGAGCTCCCAGGGAGCCTTACCCAAGTTGGGCTCGGGGGAGCACCAGGCTGCAGAGGAACGTGCCCTCCTATGGCCAAGGCGGGCTTTGCCAGTGGCCCTCTGCCAGCGCTCTGTGCGCTTTGGGTCACCATATTCTGTTCCCTCAGTAGATATTTAAGCAGCAATTTCTGGGCCAAAGGCAGTGTTTCCAGCCTTGATGGGCACAGCTACGTACACTTAACGCCATCAGAGCAACAAGGAGAGCCCCTCACGGGGTGGACACACAGGCTGGGGGTTGGTGAGAAGAACTGGCACCTGCAGGTAGGTTGGGGATGGCATGGAGAGGCCCTGCAGGAGACCCCCAGTGGCGGTTCATGAAGCACAAGATCTTAGCATTGTACCAGGCCACCCGCTGCATTGCTGCTGACTTCTCCCAGAGGAGATGTATGTGGGATGCCAGCCACTTCTGTGTCTCCTCTGATCCTTCTACTCCTTTCCTGCCAATAAATCCCAGCTCCTTGGACAGACCCAGGCACGGACAGCTGCACGTGTGGCCACAACTGCCAAACTCATTGACCGCTCTTCCTCCTCAGCCTGCTCCTAGGCCCAATCTGTCAGGGTCCTCAACTGTTTATAGACTGTCCTGGGCTCTTGGTCTCAGCTCTTACCCCAGCTCTATGTGTCCTGCACTCTGCGTGCTGCCCCTGGTGCCCAGGCGGCAGGTCACAGTGCAGGGAGGATGCCCCAGGAAGTGCAGTTCACTGGTCTTTAATGTATCACTGCATCTAGGCTTTGGCTCTGCTGCTCACGAACAAGCCAGCCAATTCTGGCTAAATTACAACTTATCCAAGCCACAGTTTCTTCCTCTAAAAAACAGTAATTACAATTTGTGTTCTAGTAAACTCACATAAAATGTTCTGAAAACTTGGAGAGAACCTGTTCAGTTTTTGTTCTTTTCATAATGGGGAAAACAAGAATCACAGATCTGTGGGAAGCGGGGACAGGAACCAGAACTGTTGCCCTCTCATCCGCTAGATATAAACTGGCCCTACAGCCTGGGCCCCACCTGAATCTCCTGGCCCCCTCGATTCTTGACGAACTTGTCCATCCTCTGGCGCAGGTCTCCCACAAGGGGCTGGGACCGCAGGGCATTCCCAGCCCCCTGGCCCTCCTTCAGCTTCTTCTCCAGAAGGGAAAAGCCATCCAGCAGCTGGTACAGAACCAGGGCCAGCGGGGTGCTAGAGCTCTGCAGGGAAGAGCAGAGGGCAGATGGAATGGACAGCCAGTGAGACACTGTCTAGGCCCTGAGCACCACTAGAGCAGGGAGAGGGGCTCTGTACCTTGGTCAGGAGCACCATGTTGATGCCTGGCCACAGTGGCAGGCAGTACATTGTGTGGGGCACCAAAGGGCAGTAGTTGTCTTTTACACTGGCATCCAGGAAGATCCTTCGGGGACTAGAAGGCACTGGGGAATGAGGGGCCAGCATCTGGGGGGTGTCCTCAGCTACCTGTGGAGGAGAAAGAACTATCAGTGCGGTGGGCAAGGACGAAAGAGCCATCTGGCCCCCACCCCAAGTTGGATCTACCCACGACTGTCTATTTCCCTGCCCCATCCATGAACCATGGGGAATATAAGTGTTTAGCTCAGAGAAATCCCAGTTCTTAGATCCCTGCCTTCAGTTGAAACTCTGCTTGCAGCTGTAGTCCCCGCTCTGTCTGGTCCTGCAGCTTCCCCTGGGCCTTTCTGCCCAGCGTCATGATTGGGTCTCATGATCAATCATGCAGTGCAGTGGGCAAGTGGTGTAGGAGGTGGGGGGTAGCCCAGAAGGCACAGAGAAGGTAGGACAGACAGACACGGGGACTGTCTCCCTGCCCTGCCTTCAGTGAGAGGAAGGTATTCCAAATTCAACATGCTTGTCATTTCAGAATGTCCCGACAGACCCCTAAAGTAGAGATACTAAGGTAAAAAACAACTAAATGAACAAGACTTCAGCCTAAGAGGGAGCTCTGAGAAACAAAGCATTTAATAGAAGAAAAAAAAAGAGAGAATTAAGGAAATAATTAGAGATGCCACAAAAATTTCTCTATAAGAATGTGACTTTGGTTATATATAACATACATACAAAACTGGAAACAATGTGTCACTTGTTCTGAGGATTTGCTCAATAAATAGTAACATATGCATAGATGGTCTCTTGAGCAATCCTTAGAGCCCATACTGTTGAAGAGAACTTTGTAAATGGAAAAATGTTAAAGTAAAACAATAAATGAAGTACATTAAGATCCGAATGTGATAAAAGAAAAAAATACAGTATGTGTGTATACATACCCAGTATGTGCACATGGGGCGCAGATAAAATCACAGAAAAGAAAAAACAGAAGGAAACACCCCAAAATGCTAATTTTACTTTGTGGATGGGACTAAGAGTGATTTTATTCTCCTTTCTATCCTTTGTATTTCTTACTTTTTAAATAGTGAGAATATGTTGTGTATGTTGACCGGGACTGCCCAGAACACGGAGAGGGAAGGAGTTGGTGAGGTGTGGAGGGCCACTCTCACTCCGCATCCTGTACCCTCCCTGGGGTGGGAGGTGTACCACCTCCCAGCTCATAGGTGACTCCATACTGACCAGCCCTCAGAGGGGCAGGTGGAGGGCAGCACTGGTAGACAGCAATCTGGGAGGGGCAGGTGCTCCCAGTAGCTCCCCAACTTCTACAATCCCAGGTGCCCAATCAGACCCAGGAGACTCACCTGCGGAATGTCAGATGGTGCCACCTCCAGCCAGATGGTGCTACCTGTGGGCACAGGTGGAAATATCCTAATGTAAACACTGTGAGAATGTAAATAACGGCCCAACAGTATGTCAGAGAACGCAAGAGCGGCCATCAATAGCTCAGCTAGAGCACCAGGTGGGGGTAAAGGTGCCTCACTGGGACTTCTGCCCTAGTAAGCCATCTCATCCCCACCTGGCAAGCTCCAGGTAAGCACTGCAGTACCAGGGTAAAGTGGCCCGGGTCTAGAGGAGAGAAGCTACCCACAGCCAGCGGCTAGGTGGGAACGGAGTTCTAAGCATATACCTGGCAATGGGGGCGTTTTCCTCCGATGCCCCCTTTAACTCCTTTCATCCAGTCCTTGTTTCTGCCCTCTACCCCTTCAGGTCCTCCCTCGGAGCCAGCACAAGTTCCTTGCTCAGTTATTCAATCACCACTCTCACTGAGGACCTATTCTGTACTAAGAATTGAGCTTGATTTCCTTCCTAGTTCACAGAAAACTACTGAAACCACTAATGACTTGAGATATTAGATGTTTGGAACAATAATATTCTCTCTTAAATTTCATTGCAAATAACCTTCACTTGTAATCAGATTTCTCCAGGGAAAGCAAGTTCCTAAGTTTTACAAACCTGATTTAGACATGGATTCGTGCTTTACTGAGACCCTGTCTCAAAATAAAAAGTAAGAAGGGTCAGGAACGGAGTGCAGTGCAAACCCCCAGTGCCAAAAAAAAAAAAAAAAAAAAAAGGAAGAAGCGCAACTCAGGAAGTCATTTCTAGGCTGCGAGTTCTGTGCACAGTGGGGCATTATTTAAAGCTCTGCAGAATAAAGAGCTAAACACCAAGAGCAAAGGCAAGGAGGAGGCTTTCGATGAATGAGGGAAGGAAGTGGCAAGAGGGAACTGCAGAAGTTATCCACAAGCTCTGCCACTCCTTGTGCCTGGAGCTCAGACAGAGCTCAGAGAACCTGCAGCTGGCCGCGGGCCTCCCCGCAGGAAAGGCACGAAGACATGCGCTGGCACACAACCGAGGCTCCCAGCTCCCTGAAGCTGGCCCAGGGACCTAAAATTAAGGAAATTTAACCCCATGGCTTTTAACCTTGGCTTACCATGCACACCATTTAGGGAGCTTTTTAAAAAAAATCTTGCAGCCCCAGCCACAATTTGATCAATTAAATTAGAACCTCGGGCACAGGCTCAGTTCTAAGTTTTTAAAGATCTCCAGGTTGGGGCCAAATGCACCTGGGGCGAGGACTCGTCACACAGCAGGGGGTTCCACTCTAGATCAGGGCCCCGGGAGTCCAGCCAGGGCTAAGGCCACTTTTTAAGGAAGCCACTTGATAAAACTACTTTCAAAACCGTCCCCAACAAATTTCTCCTTCTGCAACTTTTCATCCTTTCTTCTCTCAGCTGGTGTGAGCTAAAAGCATCCTTTCTTTTATTCTAAGAACTTCAGAGACATGTATGTAATGCTCATGGAGAGGACGGCAATCTGGATTTTGGGCTATCTTCTTCTCTAAGAAATTCTGTATATTTTTCAGTTAACAACTTTTTGAATATTAATAGTTCATTTTTATTGCTTATCAACATACACTGGAAAAATAGATTAAGGGATAAACTGGAGTTTGAATAGTTATATTTCAAAATGTACCCAAACTCAAACGATTATTATTTAATTTTACTTAATGGTTTAATTATCTACAAAAAAGGATGAGATTGAGACTATACATAAAGATGAATTTAAAAACAATCAACTTGTCATAGGAAGTTTTATGAATCACCTGAGTGGTCTTAGGAGTTCTCTGATTCATGCCAAGGGCTGGCAGAGAAGAGGGCCACAGGGAACAGCTTGTGCTACAGGAGTTTGGGCTCCCTGTCTGGCCCCTGTGAGACACCCAGGGATCCACTGAACTGGAAGACAATTTCCTTGGCTACACGTGGACATCTGCCCTCATGCCGGCACCACTGCTTTGGTCCCAGGCCTCACCTGAGCTCTGCTCCCCAGGGGAAGGAGCTGGTGTGAAGTACTCCTCGGGGAGGGAGAAGCTGTCTGTGTCCTGGTGGGAGAAGTAGCAGCTTAGACCAAGGGCCAAGGGCCAGGTGAGGCTCTCTCAGGGGGCTCAGGGCCCTGCTCTTCTGGGAGGAGGCTGGTTATATGGTGAGGCAGATCCTCCCTGTCTTTCACACAGGGTGTGGCACACACCGTCCCTGAAGAACTGTCTTTGGTTGGGCCTGACGTGTGTGGGCTCCGGGACTGCTGCACAGGAATGTTCTGGCTGCTCCGGGCTTTTCTCTGTGGGGAAGGCTTTGAGGACAGCAGAGACATTGGTTAGGGCACATCTGACCTGGCTTCTCTCTACCCATCCTCTGCCTCCCAGCACTTCAGAGAAGCACTTTGCACCTCCAACCTATTCCATGTTCTGACCTAGGTATACAGTCCTCAGACTTGCCGGGGAGGTTTCAATTCTAGGTGGTCTATTCTTTTCCCAGAACCGCTGAAATTCCAGAGACCCAACACATTTCAAAGCCAGCACCTCCCTGCCACTGGTGACAACAGTGTCCACATGTCGGCTAACACTGAGCCTTCATTGCCCAGGCACTGCTGGGCATTGCGTGGCTTGTCTCCTTTATCCCTCATCATACCCCTGTGAGGCAATGCCACCGTTATTCCCACTGTAAAGTGAGGGAATCTCAGCTCACAAGGTTAAGGAAAGAAGCTGGGTTTCAAACTAGGGCCAATTCCACAAGTCTGCACTTTCAACCAGCAGACGCCGGCGTTTCAGCATTCTCCTTCCACTGGAAAACACCACATCCACCCACTGGCCCAGATGGTCCCATGGCGAGCACAGTCCCCAGGGCCCGCCCACCACTCTCCGGACAGGGTTTCGGAGCCATCTCCCCGACAGCCCCCTCCTGCTCTGACACCTGGGCCTCGTCATCCTCCTCCACTGTGTGCTCGCTGGGGTGGAGCTCCTGAACCAGGAGGATGAGAGCAAGGAGGTCGGCTGGGCGCAGGGAGCTCGCGGTGTGGCTGTGGAGACAGGAGCAGGGCAACCGTCAGCACAACATGGAGTCCAGCGCTGCCCTCAAGGAGTGTGTGGGGACTGGCTAACCTAATCCTTCCTGGAGATAGGTATAAATAAAATGAACTCACCAATTTTTAAAATACAATTTGGTTGTGGGAAAAAAAAAACAAACTGCCAACTGGGAATTCCCAGAGACCAATAAGGGCATAAAGATGGGTCTCTTAATGTGGACTCTGCGAAGTGCTCCAGGAGGAAGTGCCTCAGAGATGGGAGTGTCTGGGAGGGTGGAAAAAGTCAAGTCTGGGAATGCTGCATGGAAGTAGAGGGGGTTCCCGGGCCAGGCGGCCACGATTTCCAGGCAGAAGGAGTAAGAATGGCGCGGGTGGGAGGCTGCGGCTCAGCTCACCTGGAGTAGAAGGCCAGCAGCTTGGAGTGCACAAGCAGGAAGGCATGCATGACCTCTTCACCGCCCCGTGAGGGACTGCAGTTGATGGCCTGGACCACGTGCCGCTCCAGTGTCTCTATACACAGCTCACAGAGCTGGGGGTGGATTAGCCGTTCCACAGCCTGGTTAGGGGAGGAAGCCGTGTTACCCAGCACCGTCTCCTGCTGCTGCCTGGGGCTGGTGGGCACATTCACTCAGTCTATCCTGAGCTCACACTGGGTGTTAGGTGTTAGGAGTACAGAGACCATGATTGGCATGGTCTCAGCCTGCCTGGGCTCACAGCTTGGTCAGCAGACTCTAGTAGATGAAGCGGACAACATTCAAGCCAACCACAATATGTGTTCAGTGTGAAATACACAGTACTAAACTAGAGAAAAACAGCAGACCTACTTGGGTAGGGTGTTCAAAGAATATCCCCGAGGAGGTGAGCTTTAAACTGGAATCTAAGGAACTGGAAAGTCTGCCAAAGAAAGAGGAGAGGAAGAACATAGCAAGCATAGGAAAGAGCAAGTGCAAAGGCCCTGAGTTGTGCAGTTTACAGCATTGCTGTTTAAAATGTAGAGGGTGAGTCCTATGCATAATTTAATAATTTCTAGTAAAAAGAAACAGGTGAAATTAATTTTAATATTTTATTTTGTCTAATATACCTAAAGTATTATCAACATATAATGTAAAAGCATTATCAATCTGATATTTTACATTTTTTTTTGTTCTAAGTCATCAAAATTTGGTGCATATTACATGTACAGCATAACTTAATTTGGACTAGCTACATTTTAAGTATTCAAAAGCCACATGTAGCTAATGACTAACATATTGGACAGAGCTGAACATACAGCTTTTCTGAAACTAAAAGAAATCCCACGCGAGCAATGTATGAGAGTGAGAACAAGAGAGGCTTGAGATGAGGCAGAACAGGTTACACAGGGCCTGATGGGCTTCGGAGGAGTCTGGGTTTTGTCCGAAGTGCATCAGGTCACTTCCTACAAGAAGTCTTTCCCCAAAGAAGCCGACCACTCCATGCTTTGTGCTACCATGGATTTTGGATGTGAAACCTAGTGTCGCACCTAGAACACTTTATAGCATTTTTAGTATTCACATATGGCTGAGCTCACTCAAGGGCAGGGTTTGTGTCTTTACTCATTAGGGCCTGGGGCACCTCTTATTATATAGTGGATACCCCATGTTTACTGGACTGGTCAGTGATTTCCTGACTTCTGGCTTTCACCCATGGTGGCTTATTTTCTTGTGTATCTGACTTTTTCTTTCTTCTCATTCTCCCTCTTCCTGTTCTCCTCTTTTTTCTCTTCTTTTTCTACCCTCTCTACTTTTCCTCCTCCTCCTGTTTCTTCAAAAGGCATATGCAGATTTATGAAGCAGAGTCAAAGAAGTTCATTCTCAGAAAGGAGGGTGGGTGTGCAAGGGTGAGACTGACTTTTTAAACTGTGAGCTCATTTCTTTTTCAGGTTAGTCTGTTCTCTAAAGCAGTGGTTTTTAAAGTGTGACTCTCAGACTGGCACACGCAGCAGCATCTGGGAATCCATTAGAAATGTAAACCCTAGAGCCAGCCCTGACTTAGACCCGCTGAATGAGAAACTCCGAGGGTGGGGCCCAACAGTGTGTACCTCACAAGCTCTCCAGATGACTCTGATAGGTACTGGCAAGTGAGACCCACTGCTCTACAGAGAGAATTTAAGTCTGTCCCACAAAGGCCCTGGTGGCGCTACTGCCAGCCACGCCAGCTCGTCATCCCAGTTTAACCTGGGAAGGGCAGGTGCAGATCCTGATGGTGCTTCTGGCTGAGGACTGTTTTCTGGCTGTAGTGGGGGTGTCACTGCACTCAGGGCAGTGTTGCCTTCAGCGCTGCTTTTGTTCACTGCTTTCTACCCTAGTTTCAGTTCACTACATCTTTTTTGGGGATGGGAGGCAAGTTTAAAGGTGCTATCTTCAGAGATTTCTGTAATCTATAGTGAGTCCTAAAACTGCACTGAAAAGTCAGTTTTACCCAGAATCTAGCTATTTACTATAGGAAGGGCCACTGTACGGCCAGAAGGAACAACTCTGGATCTCAGTGTCTTCCTGGGCACTTACTCATGAAGGTCAAAACATGGTCTTCAAGCTGGCTGCTGCCCATTCTAACCCGACACTTCCCAGGCCTGAGGCCTCAACGTCCCATAGTCACCTCCACAGCAAAGCTTTGCTCTTCCTCCCGTAGGCGGCTGTAGGTCCACAGTAGGCTCTGGAAGTGAGCCCACACCTGGGCCCTCTGGTCCAGGTCTGGGGGCCTCAGCCTGAAGCAGAAACACAGACAGTGGCCCGTGAGAAAGCCGGTCACTTCCGACAACCCCGGGATCTTATCCCAGGCCAGCATCAGAGCCAGAGAGCTCAGAAAACGTGACTGTGTATCTGTCGGGGAGCCCAGGGCAGGGAGGGGCTGTGTTTCACGTGTGCCCTGGCACAGCAGTACTGGCAGGAACCAGGCGTCAGGCCACTGAGCAAATGACTCCACCCCTCAGTCTCTTTCACACAGACATATATGAAAGCTAGACACGGAGCCAGGAAGGTTCCTGCATTTTCTGTGCCTCATGTCCTTCACAGATCTCTACAAACAGACAATGCTGGCCTATTATCAGGGCCAAGCACAGGGCACAGCCCTCTCAAACACTGACTGCCCTGGCTAGACAAATACGGTTTGTATAAAGTGCACTCACTGCCCATAGCATGTGCCAGCAACACTGCGACAGCTAAAACAACTCATGACGTGATGCCTGCAGATACAGTGAGCGCCTCAATGTGGCTGCTTACTCACGTTGCTTTGCTCAGGCTTTCCTTATAGGGCCAGAGATGGCTTCTGCGGCCCTGCCCTTCAGAAAGTGTCACCAGAGTATGTACGCATGGAAATGCATTTTTCCAAAGGGAGAGTCTAGGGCAGCTCTGAGGAGCCAGAGAGGACTGGCTCAGACCTGGCTGGTCATGACAGACCTCTAGGGTTGGCAGTGGACAGAATGCATAAGGGGGATGCTTAGCTCAGACTGCTAGGCTGGATGCTGTCACTGACCAGTTGGATACCTCTGGGTGGTTATTTAACTTCTCTCCCTTCAGCTTCCCCATGTGTAAAATGAGAGGCTCAGAAAAGATAGTTTTCACTGCTCCTTTGAGCCGTTTCTTAGATCCAGGGACATAGTTGGGGCAGAGTATAGAAATGCAGCTTCACTGAGGCCGGGCACAGGCTGACTGGCTCTACAAGGGCTCAGCAAGACCCAGGGGGACCAGGCTGGAGGACTCACTCCTTTCGGATGAGCTGGCCGTCCATAGTAACTAGTCCGAAGTGCACCTCAAACAGGTACTTGAGCACACACAACTTGCGCCGGAGATCCCCTTCGCTCTCAGTGCGGTCTCCATTGATGGCGATGAACAGGCATTCTCCAAACTGTAGGTGCAGACAGACCACATCAGCCAGGCTGGTGGAGCTCCCTCCACCTGCCTCGATCTCCACGGACAATTAGAGGTAGGACTGGGTGCCAGGAGGTTTTGATACTGTGAAGCTCCTGCCTTCCACAGGAGTCTGTAGTCCACGATTGGGGAGAGGCATGCGGACTCCTCATGGAGCAGGAGGAAGAGGAACATGGACCACAGGGCCACATACTCACCAAATGAAGCACATACAGATAGTTGCTATTTTCTGTACAGAAGCAGGTGTATGTATCAGAGAGCTTCTCCAGCATCGTCATGGAGGAGATGATGACTGGGGCCAGGAGAGTGCTGAGCTGGTCCTCCAGTGCAGGGCGCTGCAAGGGGATAAGTAAGGAACAGTGCTTCGGGTGTGTCAGATGCTGTGGACAAAGGAATAAGCAAAACTTGGACCTTGCCATCAAAGAGCTCCCTGTCCTGAAAGGGAGGGGACAAAAAGAGGCTGCACCTACACTTTGAGTGGCAGCTTGGAAGGCAGGGGTCAGCCTGCTCACTGTGATTCAGGATCTGAATCTCGAAGAAAATATTAAACATTTGCCACATTCCACACTGGCATGTTTGGAGCACTTAATGGAGAACTCACCAGCTCTAAGGAAGACTGCTATATGAACCAAAGCCTGGGTCATTTTTTTGGCATAAACTACTTTGGAGAAGTTATCCTAAGGAAAATGACCAGAGATAGAAACAAGTAAGTTCACTACAACATAATTCACAGTTGTAAACAATTGGAAAAAATGTAAATGTACAGTGTCAAGGAAATACTTTAAATGATGAGAGATTCTATATAGCTACTTAAAATATTAGCGGTTCAATGACATGGAAAATTCCTTTGACACAGCGTTATTTTTTAAAGGATGCACTGTATTTAAAAACGTATACATAAAAAAGTATTGAAAAGATATTAAGAAAGCCAAAATGGCTGGAGCTATCACTTCTAGGTATGGGGAATATAAGTGATATTTTTCTCTATTTTTCAAATGTTTCTTTATTTTTCCTATTTTCCACAAAGATGCATTCACTTTGATAAGCTCTTCCCCATCCATTCTCATTGCCCCCCAAAGAAAGGAATAAAATAACTACACAAAAGTAAAAAAGAACGGGGCAAATTTGCTGTGAATCTGTGAGTACACACGGGGGAAAGTCAGTAGAATGGCTACCTCTCCAATTCTCAGTCCTGGAGAGAAAAGAACGGAAGAAACATCTGATCTTGCTCAGGATGACTGGAGGAGCCCTGAATGGAGTATGGAGCTGTGAGTGAGGCTTTGATTGAAATGAAAACCGGGCAGCTGGCCAGCAGTAGGGTACAGCACTGAGGATACAAGTGAGACACAGCACTGGGGCATGTCTCCTCGCCAACATTCAGGAACCCAGGTGTGCGTCTGAGAGTATGGCAGTCACACTCGCACATCCTCCGCATCATTCCAGTCCCAGCCTACACAGCTCCTTTACTGAACTCCTGGGGTCACCCCACCTCCATGACTCCCTATTCAAACCCTGTCCTGTCTTCTATCCATACAGCATCACCTGAATTTGTGACGTTTACTTGCCATGGCTCACTGCACAGCCTTCTTAGGCCCTACATTCTCTTACAGCAGAGATTAACATCACTATTAACATACATCACTATGTTCACTGGTTTACCCCTACAAGCCAGCAAATGGGGGTTTCTCAGTGAATATCTGTCCCACACAGGTAAGAACAGATGCTTGAATTATTCACATTGTGCAGTTTTTTTGAATTGTCACGAATTATATGCATAGAAAAGTTACTTAAAAGTCTAGATTGTGCACAGCAACTCATTTTAAAAGTAGTGGCTTTCCATAAAGGTACAGGAAGAATCTTTTTTGGTGGGGGAGCTAAAAATTTTTTGGTATATTGTACCAAAAATTTTTTGGTAGAATGTAAAGGGGCACTTTCATATACTACTTAGTGGAATTATAAAGTGCCACAATATCTGTAAAAGGCTTTTGGTTCATTTTATTTTGTTTTATGTTTTTTGCTGTTTTTTTTCCGGTACCGGGAATTGAACTCACGACCTTGCACTTGCCAGGCAGGCGCTGTGCCGCTAAGCTAAATCGCCAGCTCCCAATTTTATTTTTAGGAATAATAATAATATAAAATAATGGAACACAGAATTCAAGCACAAGTGTACCTTACAGTAACAGTGATAGCTAACTAGAAGTAACATATACGTCCAGTATTGGGGAAATGGTTAAATAAGTGATGATATATTTATTCATATACTGATATAATGATGCCATTATGAATTATGCTTTTGAGAATGGCAAATAAAAAAAAGGGAAATAAAACTGTAAATGTGGTATGATCTCTAGTACATAAATGATAAAGGCCCTAAGAATGTATATTAAAGAGCTAAAAACTGTTGGTAGTGGAATTATGGGTCATTTAAAAATTATTTTGCTGCATTTGTAAATTTCACACAATTAATTTATTTATGTGACTAGGAAAATAATGTGTGGCATACATAAAAAATAAAATTTTAAACACTTTTTTTCTTTACACTAGTCATTTAGGAGCTGAGAAAAATAAAGATTTGTTCCTGTATCAGGTTTTTAACAAACTGCAAGGGCAACACTGCCAAATAGTTTGCTTCTTCAATGGACATAGTTGAAAGAATAGTTCTGGAACGAATGGACTATTATTTAAATTTTAGATGTACTGACTTCTAAAAAATAAAATGGCCTGAGATAGATCTGATTTTTTGCTTAAATAAAATCACTTCATCATCCGTCCATGACCACTGATATCAGAATATCAGTGATGCTGACGGTAGAATAGCCTGCTGAAATGAAGTGGGCCCAGCTGTGATTAGGCCCATTACAGCAGGCAGGGCACTGAGAGGCAGTCAGTTCCTTGGTGCTGCTGCAGAAATACAGGAACTCCCCCTACTGCATCCCTAATAAAAATTTTTCTAGCCCAAAATTAATCCAGGAAAAAAATTCAAACTACATTACTGCTTTAAAATGCAGAGTGGAGATTATATAAGTGAAATGACAACTTTTTTTTCTGAGTAATAAACTGGATATCCATATGTAAAATAAAACAAAGCCCTTCAACCCATACCTCACACCATATTCAAAAGTTCAAAATGGATCATTAGGCCTAAAATAAAACCCCAAAACTATACAACTTCCAGATAAAATATAGAGAAAGCTCTTTGTGACCTAGGGCTAGGCAAAGCTTTCTTAGATATGATACCAAAAGCATGATCCATAAAACCAAAAATAGAGAATTGGAATATCAAAATAAAAATTGCTGTTCTTTGCAAGATGTTCTTAAGATAATGCAAAGACAAGTCACAGCCTGAAGAAAATATTTGCAAAGGATATAGTTAATAAAAGACTTCCATTCAGAATATATAAGAAACTCTCAAAATGCAGAAGAAACAATCTGTTAAAAAATGGGCAAAAGATATAGCAAGGCAGCTACTCTTCTGACAGAGGATTAACATCTAGAATATAAAAGAACTAAAAAAATTACAGCTCCCAAAATAAAAGACCCACTCAAAAAATGAGGAACTGAAATGAATAGACACTTCTCGAAGTACAAATGGCCAACACATGAAAAAAGGTTCAACATTTCTAACAGAAAAATGTAAATTAAAACAACACTGAGATTCTATTTACTCAAGAAAGAATAGCTATCATCAAGAAATCAAATAATAACAAATGCTGGAGAGGCTGTGGAGAAAAAGGAACCCTTTTTTATTGTTGGAAATAAGTATGACGATTCCTGAAAAAATAAAATTAGAAATTCCATTTGATCCAGCTATTCCCCTTCTAGGTATCTTCCTGAAAGAGTTAAAAACATAACACAGTCATACATACATACCCATGTTTATAGTAACACAACTCGTAATAGTTAAATCTTGGAAGCTGCCTATATATCCATCAATAGATGAATGGGTAAAGAAAACGTAGTTCAAACACAATGGAGTGCTACTCTGGCAGAAGAAAGGATATATTTGAGTCCTCTGTAGGGAAATGGATATACCTTGAGATCATAATGTTAAATACAACAAATAAAACAAGCTGAGATATCATATAGGCTCTTCTATGAGAGATGGATAGTATGAATAATTTAAAGAGCAAAATAAAAGACAGTAATAGGAAACAGGGAGATAGACCTTTTGCAAATGAAAAGGGGATCCAGAGATGAAGGGAAGGTGGAGGGAAGGCAGGATAAGGGAAATAAAAAGAATTCATAGCATATAGCATATACATGTACATATTCGTAGCATATACATGTACCAACATCCTACGATGAATGTAATCATTATAAACTGCAAACAAGTACAAACACTGATGTGACAAATTAACACATATGTAGAGATGCTCAAAATCACTCGTCACTGAATGAAAAAACACAAGGAGATCTAGTAAACATCTGCTGGATGTTCAAAAATTAAATTAAAAAGACTGACCATACCAAGTACTGGTGAGAGGAACTAGTACTCACATGCTGCTGATGGAACATAAAATGATACAACCACTTTGGGGAAATTTCACAGTTTCTTTAAAAGTTAAACATATACCTTCATGATCCAGCCATTCTATCCTGGATAAAACTGAAAGCATATGCCCATACAGAGATTTACAGTTCACAGCTGCTTTATTTGTAAAAGTCAAAAACTGGAAATAACTCAAATGTCCACCAGCAGGTAAATGAATAAACAAACTGTGGCACATTGAGACAGTAAACTACTACTCAGCAATAAAGAGGAATGAATGATTGATACACATTACAACACCGAGGAACTGAAGTATTATACAGAGTATAAGAGGCCGGACCAAAAAACAAAAACAATACAAAATGAAACCCAAATGTATACCATATGATTCTTTTATATAAGTCTACAAATACACACCAGTCATGATAGGAAATAGTTCAGTAGTTGCTACAGGTTGGGGGTGGTAAAGGAGGGATCACAACTTTTGGGGTGATAGACAAGTTCATGGTAATCACATGCATACACATATTGAAGCACATCAAATACGTATAATGTCAGTTATACCTTAATGTGGCTATTAAAAATGGATGCATTAACTCTATGTTAAAAGTTTGCAGAGAAACTGGTGACACCAAGCTTCTCAGTTGTGTGGTTATAATTCTTCCTCCTCTTGCCTCTATGGCCCAGTGAGCCCTAGTGGGGTGGAAGAGCCCTGGTGGTGTAGAACTGCTCAGAGCATCAAGAGGCTGACTCACAGGTCCTGCTAATTCCTCAGGCTGGCCCAGGATGGGGGAACACAGCTCCTCCTGCCTCCCTGCATTCTGGTAGCTTTGTTCTGTTCCCTCGTACCCATCCTCTCACCTCTTCTGCTTCATTCTCTGACTGCCCATACTTCAGCCGGAGACTCTCTTCAAACTGCTCATCTGTCCAGTAGAAGAGGATTTCTGCACCCTCGGTGGCCACTAAGACGCATTTCATCTGCCAGAGAGAAAAAAGGTCAAGGTCACCCTGGCTCCCACAGCTGTGAGCTAGCCTGAATAATGACGAGGATCCTAACTCGAGCAAACATTCGCTGAGCCCCTTCCACACACCAGGTACTACCATGAGAGGCTTCCTACACTCTAACGGAAGTACGGCTCTTCAGTTACTCATGTTACAGCACAGGGCACAGGGACAGGCCTGTCTGATGCTACGTCTGAGGCTCTTTCCTCTGTGTTACCCAGGAGGTTCTCACCCCACAGCATCAGGCCTCTCACAAACAAATGTATGGACAGAACTTGACTTTGGTCTGGACAGAGGGGACTGCCCAAGGGAGCCACGCTCACTCACTGCAGATGGCTGGTGTCCGGTCTAGAGTGGAAGCAGCTACTGCACCTCTAGGTAGTCCAGAGGAGTTTTTACCTCTCAACAGAAAACAACCCCAAAGATGGGCCCCAGAGCCCAGGAGGAGTTTATTTCAGCACACCACACACAACATGACAGCCATGTTATTCAAAAGCTTCCTGCTCTTGGAAACAGGTTGCCTGAAGACCTCATCCCTGGCTCCTTCTTAATCAAACCTAACTTCAATTTTTCAGCCATAAATGTCTTTAGCCCTCTGTACCCTCTTCCCCACCACTCACACTTTTATTTTTTAAGAGGGGTGCCCACTTTGGATCTGTTTTCTATTTAGAAGGAAAACTATACCTAGATTGTTTAGAGGCCAAGATACACTAGCTGCTTCCACTTCAGATCAGGCACCAGCTGACTGCTGGAGTGCGCATGGCTCTCTTGGGCAGGGTTTTGCACATATCAGGCAAGTGCTCTGTCACTGGGTTATATTGCCTTTTTCCCATTTCTTTTCTCTTCCTTCCTTCCTTTTTTGGCTTTTTAAGATGGGGTCTCATTATATAGTACCGACTGGCCTTGAGCTCACTATGTAGCCTAGGCTGGTCCTGAACTTACAGCAATTCTCCTACTTTAGCCTCCCAGGTGCTGGGATTACAGGTGTGCAATCACACCCAGCCTATATTACATTTTAAAATAGAGTTTAAATTGTCCAGACTGGCCTTGAACTTGTGATCCTCCTACCTCAGCTACCAGAGTACCTGGGATTACAGGAACATGTCGGTGCAGCTGGCTTGTGCCACACATACTAATGGTTCAGTATATGAAATGGGTTTTATTCACCAGCTGATGTACCTGTAACACAGTTTCCCACACTGTGCCCTGACCCTGGGCTGCAGTAGGATATTGATGTTATCAACCCTTAGGGCAGCCTGACTAAGAATGGCAAGAGCTCCAGGTCTGCTGCTTGCAGCTAGAGGCCTCAGGCCTGGGTTCCAAATCCCCTTGTGAACATCAGTGTGCTACACAGAGGTGATCATGCTGTCCGTGTGCTAAGCTATGACAATGATTTGGAAGCTGTGCTCTAATTCTTACACAAGAGGGTGCCCAATTTCCCAGGAGGTTCCTAGCATCTCGAGGTCCTAGGCTCAGTCATACTCTGCAGGATCCCCTCACTGCATTTTTCTCAACTTTCCAGTTGGGTTATCAACTCTAATCCAGAGCGCTGAATCCAAGGCATCTGCAAGCTAATGCGCCGAGAAAGACTCAAGAGGTCAGACTCTTCCTATGGGATTGCTAAACACTATGGCAGGGACAGGAAGAGCAACCGGGTGAGAAGTGGCTGGAGAGGGCGAGACTGCACGAGGCTGCTCTGGGACCAGAGGTGGGTGTGACCAAGGTGGTGCGGCCATCATCTCCAGGAGACGTTGGCTATGGGATGTGGAGACTGTGGCTGATGGGAGGGGGCTGATGATGGGCCATGCTAATGTCATGAAGCCCAGTTAGCTTGGTGTGGCCCCATTCCTTGATGCAGAGGAAGGAAATTATTTAAGAGGCATAGCTTAGACCCTCAGCAGGCCTTGATGTTCACCTGGATGCAGGGGATGACAGGGATGCTAGACAGAGGTGACATCAGGATGCACAGCTGGAGCAGGGGTGGGGGAAGGAGGAGTGCAGGGTCCAGGACAGCTCAACCTGCCTCACTCTGCTTTCCATGGTCCAAGCTGCCTGCCTCCCCCTCTGTCCCAGGAGGGGATGAGGATCTACCTTGGGAAGTAGCACATCACAACTTCAGGCAGCCAGAGGTTCACACGGGGCTGTAGGAGCCGAACTGAGTGACCAGCGCATGGAACAACAGCACAGCATCCTTGGTCCTGCAAATGATTGAGACACAGAGGGAGAGAGTGCATGAGGACAAGCATAGGCTCTGGTCCCCACTGTTGTCCATTCCTGGGACTGGACAAGCCAGGGAAGGGCCATGATGTCATGGGCCCTCTTCCCCCAAGATGGAAAACACAAATCCAGGTAGCAGAATCCTTTGCACTGAGCAGGTACCCACAAACATTAGCTCCTATTTCCTGTTTCCTCTTAGGAGCTCTCATTTCACTATGGGTCGCTCAGACAAGGTACAGCCAGCAAGGGGGCCCTAAGCAGCCCCAGGAACTCGCTGAGTGATGGGAGAAGCCCATCCCAAGCTGCAGGGAGTGAGAAGAGAAAAGAGAGTAGATATCCTGGGAGGACACTGAATGGAGTAAACAGGAAAACAACTGGAGTCTTGGTTTTAGCATTGGCTTTCCCAGGTCACTTCAACTTCTTTGGGCCTTGATCTCCAACTGGGAAATGAGTGAACAAATCCCTGTTCTACCTCCCTACAGGCTTACAGGGAGTCATGGGGGCAACTAACCAGGCTGTTTCCTAAGCTTAGCAAACTAAGCTTTCTTAAACGATGCGGAGTGGGAACCATCTGCTGTTCGTATTTCCCAGCTTCCCTTCTGCTAATAACAGAATAAACTAATCTAGCTCTAGTTCCATAATTATACATAGTTTGATAAAAGGCAGGAATATAAAGCTTAGTAGGAAACCACTGTAAGCAAGAGTGACCACCAGGTAAGGACTCTTTCGGGTTCGGCATCTTCTGCAGAACTCTGGGACCCACCGGCTACATCACCAGCAACAGCCCCAACCCCACCTTCTGGGGAGCAGGGGATGCTTTGCAGCGGTCCTTATGTTCCATTTTTCTTCAGCAGGGGCTGAGGCTGCTGGAAAGAGAACTTCACTCACCTCATTTTGTGATTTGCTTGTTATGGTTATCCTGCTCTACAGGGTAGACTCGGGGAGCGGACTTCTGAAGAAGGGGGCTCTGGGTGGCGTAGGTCAACCTGGGAAAACCCCCAGCGCCCACTTTCACCATCTACGTCTCCTTTCCTTAGGAAACTGCCCCAAGGGCCTTTGTCTTATCTTGCTTGCTATTCTCTTCTTTCTTTGAGACAGGGTCTTGCTGTGTAGTTTACGGTGGCTTTGAACTCACTATGCAGCGAGGGCTGGCCTTGAGCTTTCAGTGACTTCCTGCCTCAGCCTCCAAGTGCTGAGATTACAGGCCACCACACCCGCAGGCCTCGGTCCTTATCCCTGCCTGGACGGAAGCGCCGGAGTCTCAGGAGAGCGAGGGTCACCCTCCACCGCCCAAATCCTCCAGGCGCGCCCCGCACTGCAGTTTTCACAGCAGTTTCACTCCCACATCACCAGGTTTCCCAGAACTCGAGGCGACCCTGGGCTGCAGGTCGGCTGGGAGCACTGCCAGCGGGTGGGTAAGGGTGGGGGGTGTGGCCTCTCCGGGGGATTCCCCCCCCCCCCAGCCTCCCCGTCATCGGAAGGGCTGCCCGCGGCTGGAGGACGACCCGGGGCGGGACGGCGCACCGGCGCTCCCCAGGCCCACGTACCAGATCTCGGCCCACTCAGCCAGGCTGCAGCTTCGCCACCGGCGCACTTCCGGGGGAGACCACGTGGCCCTGGGCGGGGCGGGGCGAGGCGGGCCTGAGCTCGGTCCTCCTCCGCGGGTTCGAGCCCCGCCCCCGCCCAGCCCGCTCGGAGGCCGACCCGCGGCTGGCAGACACGCCCCCAGCCCTTCGGGGCGTGCTGTGCTGCGGCGCTACGCTTGGGCTTCCCACTGGAGGTTCCCGTCCAGATCCTGAAAACGTCCCCATTTTGGCCCCATTATACAGAAGAAAACTTGCTAAGAAGCCAAACTAGAACCCGGTTTTCTGGCTCTTCGCGGAGCCTTTTTCCACCTGTTTTACTTGCTGAACCCGCTTCAGGAGCGCTGCCCTTTTGTCACCCAACCCCCACGGAAGAGACACAAGCTTCGGAAGACCCCAGATGCCCCGAGTGCCAACCCTGGACTGTCTTCATAAGGGTTCTCAGTCTATTTGGGGGGGGGGGCAGGGTGCTTCGTAAGGGTTTTATATGGAACCTGTGTTTCCAAGACTCTTCTAAATTGTACTGGTGCAGTTTTTAAAGTGGTGGAAAGGATAGGGAGGTGAGGCCGATGTAAGCCGTGGAAGGGGTTAAATACCAAGTCATCCTTGCTTTCCGTGGTGCCACCTGGTAGCTTTGAGCTCAGCCCGTCAGTGGAGCTGGTGCAGAGACCGGCCTAGGGTACAGCAGACTGAGTGAGCATCTCTCGGGGAAAGGCAGAGGCCAAGAATCTATACCTCCACAATCTCCTGATTGGGTACTATCAAAGCATCACCCACAGCCGACTTTCTCAGGAAAACCTTCAGCTCTCCACATGCAGCATGCAGCTCTATCGGAGGGGATCTGCTTTGCAGTCATGTCTTTTTAAATTAGTGCTTGATTGCTGAACATAATGATTACATTCATCACGGGTGGTTGGTACAAGAACATAACACATCTTAATTCTTTTTTTAAAAAAGTCCTTTCTCCCTCCTCTCCCACCTCCATGTTTTCATGGTCCTTTTCTCTTTTGCAAAAGATTTAACTCTTCGTTTGCTACTGTCTATCTTTTATTATGCTCTTTAATTTATTTATAGTTTTGGTTTCTCATAAGGGAAATCATACAATATTTAAGCTTGTTTGACTGATTTATTTCACTTAAAATTATAGTCTCAAGATGCATCTATTTTTCCTACAAATGACTCAAGTTTATCCTTTATGGCAGAGTAGTACTCCAATGTGCATAAATACCACATTTTCTTTACCCATTCATCTGTTAATGGACATATAAGCTGCTCCCAAGATTAAGCTATTATGAGTTTTGCTGCTACAAACATGGATGTGCACAAATGATTGTAATATGTGTCTTTAACTCTTTTGGGAAGAGACCTACAAGAGAATAGTTGGGTTGAATGAAATTTCTAGTTTTAGTTTTTTGAGGAATTTCCATACTGATTCTCATAATGTTCACATTCCCACCAGCAACGTAGGAGGGTTCCTTTTTCGCTGCAGCCTCACCAGCATTTGTTACTATTTGATTTCTTAGTGACAGCCATTCTTTCTGGAGTAAGATGAAATCTTAGTTTTAATTTGCATCCAGAGATGTTGAATATTTTTTCATGCGTTCATTGTCTATTTTTATTTCTTCTGAGAAGTGCCTATTCATTTCAGTTGCCTATTTTTTGATTGAATCTTTTTTGAATTCTTTATATATTGTAGAAATTAATTTTCTGTCTGAGGAACAACTAGCAAAATTGTTTTCCTGTTTTGTATATTGTCTTTTTACTCTGTTGGTTATTTCCTTTGCTGTGAAGAAGCTTTTAATTTGGCATTTGTCGATTAAGGATGTTATTGCTTGTGCAGTTGGGGTTTGTTCAGAAAGTCCTTGGCTCCCCCTGTGTCTTCAAGAGTTTTACCTATTTCATCTTCTAGCAGATTAAGTGTTTCTGATTTAACATTTATGTTTTTGATCTATTTTGATTTTAGTTTAGTACAGACTGAGAGATATGAGTCCAGGTTCAATCTCCATATACGTAGCCAGTTTTCCCAGCTCCATTTGCTAAAGATACTATCTTCCAGTGTATGTTTTTGGTTCCTTTGTCGAATAGCTTTGCGAGGAATGCTACTGGTATTTGGGTCAAGATTGCATTAAACTGTATCAGTTTTGGAAGTATGGCCATTTTGACAATATTAATTCTGCCTATCTAGGAACAGGGAATATCCACTTTCTGATATTCTCTTTGATTTCCTTTACTAGAGTATGTGGTTTTCATCATAGAGGTCTTTCACTTTTTGAGCTAGGTTAATTCCAAGGTAATTAAGTTTTCTTGATGCTATTATAAATGGTATTGTTCTCTTAATTTCTTTCTCTATGAGTTCATTATTGCTGTACAGGGATGCTATTGATTTTTGTGTGTTGATTTTGTATCCTGCCACATTAGTGAATTTGTTTATTAATTCTTGGAGCTTTTTGGTGGGATTTTTTTTATGTCTTTATGTAAAGGATCATGTCATCTGCAAATAATGATGATTTTACTTCTTCCTTTCCTATACATATCCCTTTTATTTTGTTCTCTTGTCTGATTGCTCTGGCTGAATGTTACAAGTACTATATTAAACAGGAGCAGTGAGAGAGGACATTCTTGTGTTATTCCTGGTTTTAGAAGGAAAGGTTTCAGCTTTTCCTCATTTAATGTGATGATTGTAGTAGGTTTGTGATAAGTAGCTTTTATTAGATTGAGATAAGGTTCTTCTATACGTTCTGTTTGCTGCAGGGTTTTTATCATGAATGGATGTTGGATTTTGTCAAAAGATTTTCTTGTGTCCTTTGAGACAATCTTGTGATTTTTTGTCCTTTTTTCTGCTTATGTAATGTATTACACTTATTGATTTGTGTATGTTGAACCATTCTTGTATCCCTGGGATAAAGTCTACTTGGTCATGATGTGTGACCCTGTTTGACAGTATTCTGTTTGACAGTATTTTGTTGAGGATTTTTGTGTCTATGTTCATTAAAGAGATTGGTCTATAGTTGTATTTTTCAGTTGGGTTCTTGCTTGTCTTTGGAATCAGGGTAATGCTAGCTTCCAGGAATGACTGGGAGTATTTCTTCCCTTTCAATTTCATTGCAGAGTTTTAAGAATATTGAGGATTTTTATATTTTTATATCTTCAGTTTTAGCAATTCATATGTGTCTAGGAATCTATCCATTTCTTCTGAATTCTCCAATTCATTAGAGTACAGATTATCAAAATAGTTACTAATAACCTTTTGGATTGTGATGGTATTCATTGTGATCTTGCCTTTTTCATTTCTAATTGAGTTAATTTGGATCTTTTCTGTCCTTTTGGGGAGTAAGATTGGGTAAATCTTTGTCTATTTTACTTATTCTTTCATAGAACCAGCTCTTTGATTCATTGGTTCTTTGTATTGTTTTTTAGTCCCAGTTTCCTGTTATTTTTTAGTCTCAATTTCTGTTCTGTCTTTATAATTTCCTGCCTTGTACTAGCTTTAAATGTGGAGAATGTGTAGCTCACTGATAAGTTTATAGCTAAATGTGGTCTGGGGAGTGATTCTGGTTTGAGGAGGTGGGTCACGGGACGCAAGGCCTGGGTCTGTCTCCTTCCCTCCTCTTTTGATTCCTCTATCTCCTTCCTGCCTGCAATGACATAAGCCATCCTCTTTTGTTATGCCCCTCTACCGCGCTGCCCTGCCTTGGTGCCAGCCAACTATGGATTGAAACTTCTACAAACTGAGCCAAAATAAACTTTTCCTTCTTTAACTTGTGGATGTCAGGCATTTTGTCCCAGCAATGAGAAAGTAACTAAGAGTGTAGGTTGAAAGTTATTTGCTTTTAGGTCTTGATATACTTTATTCCAAAATCTCCTGGCCTTTAAGGTTTGTGTTGAGAAGTCTCTTGTTATTTTAATGGGTTTACTTTTATATGTGATTTATTGCTTTTTTTTTATTTTTATTTTTATTTTTTATTTTTTAATTTTTATTTTAAAGATAAAAGGAGGGAAACATTAACAGACATACAACATTTTACAACATATCACAAGCACAATACAGACAACACAGAGTTACAAACAAAGTGGTAGGGAATTAACAATGGTGGTTGTATCACATATTGATATCTTCAGAGTGGCTTCTCGTGAAAACAGATATAAACATGCAATACTGGTCAACCAAAGACTCATTGTGCTTTTTTCTAACAAAATTTTAAATTTGGTCCTTATTGAACCAAATGGGATTTTCACTATGGATTAATGGGATTTTCACTATGGGATTTCCACTATGATGTGTCATGGAGTGTTCTTTTCTGATCATGGCTATTTAGGGTCCCATATGCCTCAGTTATCTGTATGTTAAATTCTTGCTCCACATTGGGAAAGGTTGCTGTTATTATTTGTGTAAACAAGGTTTTTATGTCGTTTGTGCAATCTTTTGATTTTTCTGTAATTCCAGTTAATGTTAAATTCTTCTTCTCTGTGTTATCTAGCTGCTATTGAATCCATTTCTAATTCTCTTGTTTTTAAGATATCTTTGAGTATATGGTCACCAGCATCAACTCTGTCTTTCAGTTTTGACGCTGTCCTTATTTGGTCCCTTTTGTTGCCCATACTTTCAATAGTATTTTTAATCTCCTGGATTTCTGTTTGGTATCTTATCATGGACTCCAATTCTTTGCTAAACTGGTCATTTATGTTTTGTATCATTTTGTTTAGCTCAGCAAGCTTTATTAACATTTTTTCTAAACTCACTGATCATTTTCTTTATTAAGTCTAATATTTGTTTAGTTATATCTTCTGTGAGCTTGCTAAGCACCTTATTCATCTGTTTTCTTATCTCCTCTTTTATCATTTTGAATAAGTCAGCTGTGTGGTTTTTTATTTCCTCCTCTTCAATGCCCCATGGGTCAGCTTTGGGGAGTTTGGAGATTTGGGGGACATTTTGTTACCTTCTCATCTCATGTTTCTATTGTTTTCTTGTGCTGAGGTTTGTGGGTTGATTATATTGGAAAGACTTTGTAGCTAGTCTCTTTAGTTAGTATCTGCTTGTCAGTAATATCCTCCGGGGATGGCTGACTATGAACCATTGCCTTTGTCCCAAGGTCTAACCGCTTCTGTGAATGGCTTCTAATTCTACCCTCTCAAATATGGCAATGCTGCATGGGATCTCCTCCCCAACTCCAGTGTGCCTTGTGGAAGGACTCATTTTCAGAGTAAAGTGCCACACTATTTTCGCAGTTTATTACAGCCACGGGGTTGTACTATATCATTTTGAGAACTTACCTTCAATTCTTTTGGGTATGTGCCCAGAATTTGCTGGATCATATGGTAATTTTTTGTTTTATTTTTTTGTGTGGAATCATCATGCTTTTTCGCACAGTAGCTGTATCATGTTACATTCCCACCCACAGTGTACAAGTGTGCAGATATTTCCATATGTGGGACATTTGTTCTCATTCTCGCTCTGTCTCTCTCTCTCATCATCCTAATAGGTATGATGTAGCTCAATATAAGTTTTGATTTCACAGGTAAAAATATCCAGAGGTGAGATTATTGGGCTGTATGGTAAGGCTATATTTAAATTTATATTGAACTGTTGAACCATTTTCCAAAGCAGATTTACCGTTTTGCATCTCCCCACCAATCTCACAGTTTTGGTTCCCCTGTGGCCTTGTTATCACTAGAAATTGTCTTTTTTAAACTTTAGCCATTCTTGGTATGCAATGGTATTGCATATCATTTTAATCAGCCATTTTCCGCATTACTGACAATGTTGGATTTCTTTCCATGTGCTTATATGCTGGCTTTGTGGCTCCTCTTCAAAGAGTTCATATCTTTTGACCACTTTAAAAATTGGATTGTTTTTTCTTATTTATTTGGCTTTTTTACAAGTTCCTTTATCAGATATGTTTTCTTTTTCTTTTTTGCCAGTCTGTGACTTAACTTTTTAATCTAAGTGTTCACAAGAAGGGAATAGAAAAATAGCAGCAGCTCAAGTGGGACTGCCTGACATAAAATTAGACAATGGCAAAATTCAGGTGACCTTGGGGTTGACTTAATTCAAAGTTCACATTTTACAGATGATAACACTGAGGTCCAGAAAAGCTGAGTGACTTTTCTTTTGAGGTGAACAGAATCAGTGGAATAGCACAATTCTTGTCTCTGAGTATGGGTGTTTATTTGCTCTGGATTTGTGGACTCAGATTCTCCAATGACCTTTTAATCCACTTTGTTATGAGATTTCAAATTATATTTTCGAGGTGTCCAGTAGAGGGCGCAGCATCCAGCGCTGTGTGTATTCTAACAGGGTTGAGGGTGGAACAACACATTGTTTTCTGATACAGATCAGCCAAGTAGGATGAGAGGCTGGACTTAAAGAGTCGGGGGAGATGGAAAAGAAAGCTCCTTTAGGTCATTATGGGACTGGCAAAATAATCCTGCGGATTTAGATATTACCACACACAAACTGTGTCAGTCACTTGATGGTCCTTCAAATCACTGGACCTGAGGTCTTTTGAATCACTGCAGGGACCTAACATCAGTGACTTAATCTCCAGCCTGCCAGCATCCATCAAAAATTTGGGCTTCTTTTTCATGAAGTATAGTTGTTGGAAAGTAGGTGCCAGGCTAAGGACTTCATTGCCAGGCCCTTGGTATCTAGGTGGGCCCAGGTGATTGGTTTCTGGTCAATGGCATAGAGTGGAAGAGATTTCTTTTAGTTCCAGGTTTAGGTCCCTAACTACTCCTGCATGTTCTCTCTCCTTGCTGGCCAGCTGCATACTGATGTTTATAGCAGCCTTGCGGAGAACTGCCAAAGATGGCAGAGGGCCTCCCTCAGTCCAGATCCCTAAGTGATGACATGGATCCAAGCCACCACCCCTTCTCCCGTTACCGCTAACTGAACTTTATGAGAATTATAGGCAGGAATAAACTTTAGTCGTGTTAAGCCGTTGAAATTCTGAGGTTTATCTGTTTTTATAGTTAACAGTTACCTTAACTAATACAGTCAATGATGTCTAACTTAAATTACAAAATTTCTACTTAGAGTAGTTGAAGCAAAGCTTGTGTTGGAGGGGAGAAGGGCAGTATATCAGGAAATCAAAGCTCCCCAGTACGTTAGTTCATCAAGCAGTCGGTCTTAGGTCAAGATGTAGTGTGGACAATTGTTGGTTCCCTCTCCCATAGAACATCCCAAGAACAGAAAGCTTGAGTAGTCAAATTTTATTACTTATTAAACATTGCCTCAAAATATAAACTGCCTCATGGACTTAAATTTCTTATCATCACCAGACTCATGTAAATCATAATATAATCTGTTTTCTGGAGGGAAATATTAACACCTATTAAAATCTGCAGCACACAGACAAAACTTCCTGGGAGGTGTTCCTGCATTCATTTTCCCATCTTCCAGATGGATAAAACTCAGATTTTGCTTCTTCTAGAATTATAACTTATTACATAACATTTACAACTTAAAAGAATCCTAAAATATTTTCATGGCTAAAATTAGAAGAGTACTCTCTGATGTGGGCTGTCAGAAGACTCCCCCCCCCCCATTTCCTTTGCTGGCCATAGGACCATGGGATTGATTCATGAGTCCGAGGAAAGTTTCTCAGCCTCTCTCACATGTTCCTAGGGCTCACAGGGGCTGCTCTGGTGTTTGAAAGTGGTACCAAAGCAGTTGGTTTGCTGTCTTTTGCTTTCTTGTTTTAGAGCAGTTTTTGCAAAGGCCTCTCCTAGGACAATGGTTCCTAGATACAGTATATTACTTAGTCTGGAAAAATAGAGATTTACAAACCTTTGAGTGGTGGGGGTTGGGGGGACAGTATGTGGGTTGGGGCTGACTGGCTCTGCCACTTACCTCCCAGGACCTAGAAATACCAAGGATCATAACCTATGGTCAGTGGTGGTGGTAGGAGGGAATTAGAATGTTCTACAAAAACCCACAAAGGAGCAAACTAGGAGGGCCACTGCTGGTCTAAGGTGAGTCTGGATGCACAAAGGCTGATGTCCATCCTACTTATGTCTCATCAGAGCCAATGGTTGCCTTCCCTAAACCAACTTCCCCAAATCAACTGTTCTAGGGGAAGATATGATAGGGCTGTTTTGTGGGACACGCATGGGACATTAAGAGAGCTAGGTGTGGGCAACACTGAGATGAGGAAAGACCGGCTATTATAAGTCAGGGGAGGGATGACAGTGTAAAGACAACAGGCTTTGAACTTTTAGTTCCAAATCCTAGTTCTGCCACTCTTTATCTGGATTGTTGTGGATAGTTTCCTTCTGTAGTCACCCCAGTTATAATAGGGTCTACTCACCACAGCATCCCGAACAAGCTTGAGGATTAAATAAAATGTCTGATGAAAATGCAATAAAGTAAAAGCAATTACTGAAGCATTTGTGTCATTGCTAGTGGAACTCGGAGGGATTTTAAATGCTCTAGTTGTTTGGACCTTCTAATAAGGATAAAATTCTTCATCAATTTAGCACTGTCTTTGTTTGGAGTACTTGTTACTGTCTTCTCTTCAAATGTGGTATATCCTAAGAGTATAAACAATTCTAAACTTGAAACTTGACCCAATCTCAGTGTAGGAGATTTCTCTTGCCTCCTGGTTGGGGGTGCAGTGACTGGCAGAAGGGAAGCTGTGGAACTGGAGAGGAACTGGGGAGCCTGTAAGCCTGGTAAGTTAGGGGGCAGAGCAATTGGCAGTGCCCCAACTAGGGACTGGTGCTATGTTAGATTAGGCATTTTTGCCCTTCCTTCCTTGGCTTCTTAGAGCCAACTCTATTATTTTTGGTTGTCTGTTGTTAATTCAAAATATTAGTCCTTCCCTGTCCCAGTGCTTTTATCATCAGAGGGATACATCGGGACTCCTTTTTCCTGCAGGTTAAACACTGGCCTTTTGTTTTCAGAAATAAAGCCATGCTCACTGGATTTTGGAGGTGATTCTTGCAGTTGCATCCATTCCCAGCATGAGGCCTTGAGTGCATGCACAGCCTACCTAGGACGGTGGTTCCTAGATACAGCATATTATTTAGTCTGGAAAAATAGAGATTTACAAACCTTTGAGTGGTGGGGGTGGGGGGACAGTGTCTATGTTGGGGCTGACTGGCTCTGCCACTTACCTCTCAGGACCTAGAAATACCATGAATCATAATCTATGGTCAGTGGTTGTGGTAGGATGGGATTAGAAGGCCTGACCCCAGCCATGCTGTGTGCTGGTGGTTAACAGTTTGGCTGAGTGTTGGGGATGGGTGGGGGACTTCCAGGCAGAGTCCGTACGGCACCCCTGTCCTGCTTGAGTGTGTAGGGTTCTGGGTTCATCAGCACTGCCCAAAATGCCTGCGAGGAAGGGCCTAGGCCAGAGGAGTTGTGCTGGGAGTCCCAGGACTCACTCTCACCATAGCACAGTTCTGGTATTTGCATGTTTTTCTCCAGCCAGAGCTAATGCTAGTATCTTATAGTAGCAGCTTTTCTCAGGTCACTAGAAGAATGGGAGACTTTTTTTTCAAATAAAAATGAGAAATTTATTCTGAGCCTTTGTGACAAGAAATGAGCAAGAAAATTATTTCTTAGGGCAGAGTAACAGAAAACCATCTCAACAAAAGGCACAGTATTATTATTCTTTCAAAAGGCATTTCCGTAAGCTCTACTCTTAAGTCTCATATGGTCTTGGCCTGCCATGTCTTGCTTGAGGAAAGAAAGCTCTGACCTGGAGATGCTCTAGCGAAGGAGCTCTAGTGAAGGAGCTCTTTACTCTTTTCTCTCAGGCTGTCCCAGCACGCTGCTCCCTTCATACATGCTGTGAGGCTGTGTCTGTCACGGGCTGTCTTTGGGGTGAGTGTGACAGGGGAATCCCTGTAAAGAACAACCCCCACTGGTTTAGTAACTACTCCTCTGATTCTATCCTTCTTTCCTCCCATGAAGGATGACAGAACAGATGCCCTGTTCTAAAATCTCTATGGAATGTGATGTCATATTGAGTTTTTTGGTATCCTTTGAACAATGCAAATACTTCTTCCATGAGAGAGTTGTTAAGTTTGAATGGCAAGACTCCAAAGATAAATTTCAGTTCTTCTTCTTCCCCCTTTATTAACTAAAAAATAAGCAAAACTTAAATCTCTTGAGTGCATGAGTTAATATACAAAACAAGACAAAAGAGGCAGGAATTACCTATATTCTGCAAGGCTGAGTAAAAAGTCAATACTTATTTACAGAAAGTGTGTTTGGGTGGAGTTCTGGATGTCCTGGAAGTACTGAAAGAACAGAATCTATCAGGAGGTGGAGGGGGTGAGTCTGAGACTTGGGTGGCTACTGCGTTTGGTGACTAAGCATGCCTCAGGTTCCAGATTATTCCCCAATCTGCCACCCACTCCCTTGGATGACTGTGGGCCAACTAAAGTTCCTATCCAGGCTTCATGGGAAAAATGAGGATGACGATGGTAATTCCAGCATGGGCTTCTGTGTCTGCAAAGCAAACTAGTCTAGGACCTGGATGTTAAGGAGCCTGCACTGGAAAACAGAACAGATTTTGGTATCTGCAGTGTGGGAAAATAATCTTTTATGTTCATTTCTCTTTTCCTTATTGTGGCCTGATCATCCATTCCTTCTTCCCTCCTTTCTACCCCGGTTTCGGCACTTCTTTCTCTCACCCTCTCAGAATGGAAACTTTGACACAGGTGCCTGCTTCCTGAGAAGGAGGCTCCCCTGGGGAGCCTCGCAGGGTCAGGGGCAGTCTCAGGGTCTGCTCCTTTCTTTCCAGATGCTTCCAAGCTGAGCACAACCACTGACCAGGTCCAGTCTAATCTCAATCTGTCTTTTGCTCACTCTAGTGTACTTCCTGTGTGCTCTTCCTTTTGTACCTAATAATAAAAATGTCAAAAAGTGAGTCCACTACCTTAAAGATAAAATTATCTGGTTGGCTTCTCTCTCCTGAATTCCCAGTTCTCCATGCTGAGAATCTTACACTGCCTTGTTGGTCTGATCTTCCTCCTATTTCTTACCTGGCAGACCTGGCCTGGATCTTTATTCCTCAGGCATTTTAGGCAGTCTCCCTGGTGCAGCCCTTAGCAACTCAATCCGCACCCCATTTCTGTCATTTCACAGCAGCAGAGGTTGAACCACGTGTTAACTGGAACCTTCAGTTGTATCAAGTATTTCCTCCTTTAAAAAAGCATCATTCATATCATTTATTCTGAGGACAGTCATACCCACGGACAAGAAAGCTATTGCAGTTGCAGCTTGTTTGCAAGGACCTAAGTACCTCTGGAATCATAAAGGTTCTCATCATGAACTCTAAATCCCACTTTCCCCCTGCTCAACTCAGAAGCTTCTCACATGCTCTTCCAGCTCTGCCATCAGACCCCTGTCTCCAGATTCCCCGTTCTTCTTCATTGTGTCTACCGAAAAGCTTGTTCTATGCTGAAATGAGTAGAATTGGGAGAGGATGTACCTGGTCATCTTTAATGACCAGACTGGAGTTTTGTCTAGTAAATGCCACCAAGGAGCACAGCTTCACAGAGGCAGAAAGGTTAGATTCAGTTGTATTTTACAGGAATGACTTTTGAGTTACACTTTGTTCTTCTAAATGGGTTTTGGTCAGCCAAACATAAGGGTTTACCTTCTCCAGCCCTTAATATTCTCTGATTTTGGGGGCAGGTTAAATTTGCTTTATTTAGTTTACACTCTCCCCTCTGTGTCTCTCTCTCCTCTCGCTCTCTCTCCCTCCTTTTTCTCTCTCTGTATTTGGAGCTTCCATATACTTTTTCTTTGTACTACAACTCTCTTTTCCTCCTGGCAACATGAAGGATGGTGATTGCTTTTTATGGTGTCCAGTACATTGCTCTCTACACAGTGAATATTGTTACCTGACTCCCATTCCAAGCCTGGGGGAATCTGGATTCACAGAGGAATAGAATCTTCTTACCAAAACTAGAGTATGATTGTAATTGTACTTTTGAAGCACTGGCTTCCCAGGGGAATAGCCAGTGATGGATGCTACTGTCAGAAACCCAGATGCACACACACATACATCAACCAGGAAATTACATAAACAGCTCACCCAGCAGGCCAGAGCTGACTCACCCATTTGCTCCCCTGTGGGAAGAGAGGTGTCAGGAAACTCTGGACAGCAGCAGGAAACAGACAAAGGAGGAGTTAGAAAGGGGTTGGGTTCTTGCAGGTCCTCCCAGACTTTTCCTTCCTCATCTTCTGCTGAGAGTAGCAGCAACAGGCTAAAGTTTTAGGGTTTGTAATCAGCACTGTGGAACCAGGGTCATGGGGAGTTGCTTGAAAATGTTTGTTCTGGGAGTGTGCTGTCAGCCTTTTTTCATGGTGCATGTAAATGAAACATACAGCTCTAGACACATACATTTATCCTTATATAGGTACAGATGACGTCTACATTTTCCTTAAGGATGGATGTGACCTACCTAGGCTAAGCTCATACTATGACAGTTAGTCTTTCTGGACAGTAATTCTATGTTGATTTCAGCAGGATGGGGTAACAGAGGTTGGCTGCTAAGATGTCTGAAAAATAAGGATACTATTAGGGTGGAAGAGTAGAAAGCTGTCCAGCAGGCCCACTGGTAGCTTGTGAGTGGAGGGTGGCTTATCGGTAGCGGCAGGCAAAAGCATTGACATTCTTGACCACATAAAAGCCCATGGTGACTGGAGGGATGACCAATGTCCTGCCGGCCCGCAGTGGGCGGGGCTTCAATTCTGGAAGGGTGCCGTCGTCCACCATCACTAAGGGCTGGCCATTCAGCTGCACTGACCTATAGTGGGGAAAACAGCAGGGGACACATTATTGCATTGTCAGGGAGCCATCTTGACAAAGCCCCTGGCTAGCTTCCATTTTCCTGTCTACCTGAAATACTTTCAGCCAGCGCTCATTTTGTGGGCCATGCCCAGGTACTGACCTAGGTGTTTTACATAACAACTTACCAAGCTTTCTGATAATGTTCTGAGGTAAGGAACCACCATAATCCTCATTTTACCTTGACTAGCTCAGTGACTTCCCCAAGGTCATACAGCTTGTACGTGCCAGAACTGGAATTGAACCCAGGAATGTAACTCCAGAGTGCATCATTGAGACGGGTGAAAAGTTTCTGATACAGAAGCTATATCATGCCTTTTTTTTAAATCACAAATTTGCAGGTCAGCCTGATTTTTCTATCTAAAGAGTTTTGGCCTGCTGAGTGATGCACAGGCTTTGGATGATTTCAGAAACCTACAACTTATTTACATCTTTCATTAATTTATCCTACAGATTAGAGAACTGGCATGTTATTTATATAGGGTTATTCTAAAGGAGAACAGAGACATGTCTAACAACTCTACTTTTTCTAATTTAAAAATATTTCATATTTAATATTTAACAGATGTTTCCATTTTAGCAACACAACAAAGTAGGTGATAAAGTAGGTATTTGTAATCATAATTCATCTAACCTCCTTGCTTTTATTCTTTTTCTGTAATCATATATTTTTGATCCTAAGAAGAGAGACCATAATCATAACAAACTTAGAAAAGAGAAACAGGTCATTTTAGGCTTGCTGAGAGGGAAATACCACCCACCCTTGGCCTATGGTACAAAATCCAGACAACTTCCTAACTATTCCTGACAGCCATGTACCCAGATGGAAGCTTACAGATCAGTAGAAGAGGCCAGAATCAAGCTACCAGCTGAAAACAAGTTTGTGGGTCACCCTCAGAAAATCAGCATTACATAGTGATGACTCTTTTTGGGTCTTGCTTAACCCTTAAGGTGGAAGCATTGCAGTGATATCATTCAAGCTGCAAAGAGAATAAAATGTTATAGATTGATAGAGAGGCCTTTGTTTAGTGTTCTTCTGTGGTATGAATTATAGACAGGTTTAGAGAGAGATAATAAGACCCATAACCAACAGAACAGTGAGTTCCCTGAGATAACTCCACTGTAAATTGCTCCCAGTGGACGGCAAGGCAGAGAAGAGCTCCGAGTCTGGTCCCACATGGGTAAGTTTGGACTGCGTCCAGATCTGACAGGCCAGAGGAAGCAGCTCCCCTTCTCTGTTGGAATTACTGGAGGATGAATGAAGAGCCACACCCACCTCTGGACAGTGCGGGAGTGGGAAAATTGAGACATGAGAGTACATACAGAGAACTTTTGCTTCCAAATGTAAGGAAGCTTTTGTTTCACTGCTGGCGAAGAAAGTCTACTCACTGGAGTGCCAGGCAGGTTAAAGTAGTGTTCAGCTGCAAAAGAATCCTAGAAAGGTTTCATCTTTATAGTGTATTTTCACTATTTTGCTTCAGGTGACATGAATGTTCAACATCCAGACATAAACACAGTTAAATACAAGTCGAATAAGAGTGATTAACTTTTCAGAAACACACTCAAAATTATATTACTTCTTTGCTTGCAAACCTTCAATGGCATTTCAAATATAGAATTAGGTGCAAGGAATTAGGTAATAACATTTTAGATTCAAATGGTCCCAGGGCACTGTATCTTTGGGTTCTGGGAATTGCAAAACAAAGTGTGAGAAGAACACCTTTCAAAAATCTGTACTAATAGCAAGTAGTTGTTCTGGAGCAGACCCCATTCTCATCTTCCCACTGGGTGGAGAGGTGGGTGGAATGGGAGCATGGTCAGTACTCTAGATCAAAATCTCTAATTGCAGACCAGGTCACTAAACTGCTGGAGGACTTGGGTAAATCTCTTAACCTAACTGCCCTGCAGCTTTTGCATCTGTAATAATGCTGTATAAGTTATAGTGAAAATGAATTTAAGTATAAAATATGAAAGTGCTTTGCAAGCATAAAGAGCCAGGTAAGTAAGAAGTAGTGTTTTTGTTGTTAGTCTTTTCATTGTTGTGTACAGATACACATTTTGGGTTTTATCGTTCTGTTGCTCTGTGGAACTGATTCTTTCAAGGCACCCTTCCGAAAACCTTCTCTCCCCCTGGCTCCTATGGTATCTCACTTTCTAGGTCTTCCTCCTTCATTTCTGGATGTTACTTCCTTTGAAGAGGAGCTGGTCCAAACAAACTGGGGGGATGGTGTGGTTTCCTGCTGTTCTGTCCTTTAACCCTCTTCTCAATCTAAATATTCCTCTTTGGGTGTTTTTCCCCACGCTGCAACTTGGATTACTATCTACATGTTAATGCTCCCTGAAGCTATCTTTCTAGCCTAAATCTTTCTTTTGGACTTTCCACATGGTGATCCCACAGCAACTTCAAAGTCACATGGTCCAAATTGAAAATCTTCTCCTTAAGTTCTGTCTTTATCTACAATTTAAAAACAAAACTTTGTGATATCACCATTTAGCCAGTCACATAAACCAGAAAGCTATGAGTCTTCTGAGACTTCTACCCCCATTCTCAAATCTGGGGTTACTAAGTCAAATCACTTCTATCTTTTAATATTTTTTAAGCCTGCATCATTTTCTCCATTCACTGCTATCACTGCAGTTCAGTTTGCCTCTCAGCTATCTCCTGCTGCCAGAGCAATCTGTTGTTGCCACAGCACTGCTCCAAACTCAATAACCCCCTTGCCTTCTATTTCACTATGGATAAAGAGCCCACTCTCTCTACACTCAAAATCTGCTGGGTCCCTGCACACCGTCCTAACAATGGGCAGTAGACCACAGGAGTGGCTGCGGGATGAATTGCCAGCCATTGTAAAGGATTTGATCAATACACACACATACAAAGAATTTTCAGGATGGAAAAAATCTTTCACATAGATGAGCTAAATATTTTTCAAATGAAGATAACTAGGCATGTACTATGGTGATTAAAATGCATAAATTCTTTCAAAAGTATAGTAAATATTTTTCTAACATAAATGTCCATCAATACTGTTGGGATTTAAAAGACACAAGTTCATTTAAATACATTGTTTCAGGAGAAGGGGGTACCATATACTTCTTTGTGAGACAGAGATATTAAAAGGACAATTAGTCAGCTGTGGGAAGGCTATGAGATTTGTTGTCATTCCAAAGGTTCCCTCATCCTGGAGAAGGCTGGGATCTCTTACTTAAGCCTGACCAAATTCAGTGACTTGCAGTTTAGCTTGTGGGTCACTGTGGATGGTCCTCCCTCCACCCAGAAGGAAGCTAGTCCTTCTGGATTAGCCTAGCTATAAGGGAACCTTGCAGAATCTGCTCAGGTGTTGTCTCCTTTAGGTAAACTTCTCTGATGCCTCTGTTGTTTAGGATTCCCAGCTTTGGGTGTCCTTAGCATCCCAAACTTACCTATACCTATGGCCTTTCTCTTACTGCAAGGTAGTGACTTACCTGCTTTATATCCCTCACTTGGTTGTGACTCTTCAGTGTCCAAAGCTACAGAATAGGACTAAATATTTTCTGAGTAGGTGAGTGAACTTTTGAGACTGCATTATTTGTGGTCTTTCTAGGTTAGTTCCTCCAGCTTTAAAGAGGATCATTGAATGTTCCCTGAGTATCTTTACAGATTGCAGTAACATACCAGTTACTCATGCTCTTGGTGGAGATGTTACAGAAGATCTCAATTATTGCTGGTTTCATAGTTACTCAGTAGGTACCTCATCCCAACCTAACATGAAGCCATTGATCATGGCTAATGGTTTTCATCCTTAGAAAAGATGTGTATGACCATTTCTTAGCTAAGCCAACATGAGTTAATTTTGTGAGAAAGGTTTTGCATTCTCATACGTCCTGATTTACAAATCTCTTCATTTTAAATGTGGGCAATGTACTTTATCATCTCTTCTACCCTTCCTGCCTACATTTTTTTCAGTGTTTTTATTTTGTGACTCAGTAAAATAGCATGCTAAATATAACAGTGATGTTTTATTTATATACTCTGAACAGTTTGTAAGTTTACAATCACAAAAGTGGTAGAAAAATATCACTGATTATGGAGCACTATTTATACCAAAGACACTTCTTGACCAGGTGTTAGTATCCTTATCCATGTATTACAGCTGAGTAAATCAAAATGTAGAGGGTCTAAAACTTGCCTGAGTCACACAGTCAGTATGCGGTGGGCTGAGATTTGCACTGGTGCCCTTAACTGTAGTTCTAGCTGGCCTCCATTGTGCATGAATTATTAAAGAACTCTGTGAGATATAAAGGGCAGTGTTATTATTTTTGTAACTTCACTACTGAGATGGGGTCAGAGAGGTTAAGTGGCCTAGGCAAGGTTGTATAGCTAATTAAGAGGCTAAGCGAGGTCTCAAATTCAGGTCTCCTGACCAGCTCTTTCTAGTATTTCATGTTGTTTGTCCAAGTCCAGGTGGCACTCACTAGGATCACATTTCTTTCTTTGAAAACCTTTCTTATCACATTTTCATCATACGCTCAGACTGCCTTAACTGGCTTATGACTTTTCAAACCAAATGCTAAGTGATCCAGCCTAGGTTGAACTATTTCTTGTAATTCCTTAGCTTGCCTGAACTGTAGAGGGTATTTAAATTATCTAAATATTAGGACAACTGTGTTTTATCACCATCTGTTTTTACAAAATTTGAGTTACTTTCCAATTTCTAAACTTGTTTTCTTAATTTTCCTCGTTATTTGAAATGGGATTCCATGTGTCAATTTGGAGTCAAGGATTCTGCTCTCCAGGTCTCCGTGGGAGCCTCTTGGCCTGGTCACTCTCCCTCCTTCCATTGCCTGTTTGCAATCTCTGGTTTTTAGGTATTATCAGTGTTTTTTGATAGCCGTGGGTACTTAAACAAGGATTCACTGTTCTGAAGCCCCAGGGATGCAAGTCTAATGAGAATGTCCTTCTTGGTCTTGAAGATAATT